GGAAAATGAGATAGCTAACAGAGTGCAATAATGTAAATCGAAAGCACATGAAAGAATCATCTGGGGGCTCAATTGATGATTCGCTTGCCATTGGAAGATTTTCTTCAAGGCCTTGAATTTGTATCCTAGAATCTTTTTGACAAAGATAACCTGGATCAGAGAATTCATTGGTAGAGATAAAAAAAGTTTAAATTAGTTTTGCAAAGTGCAAAGATATCTGAAGAAGGTTTCAAGAGAAAATATTATCCAGATTCTACAGAAAATGGTATGAATACTACAAATATTGAAGAAAGGAAGATTGAGGCAGCTAAGTGATTTTTTTTTTTTTTTTTTGCTTACTAGTTTACACTTATTTTTATGAAAAACTTACTTTCACTTTTAAGGAGAAAAAGACCCAAATAATTATCAGTGTGTCTCATCTAAGTCAGGAAGGTGGCTAAAACTAAAGCATAATGTGGTCTTAGTGGAAAAACAGGCAGGGACACCTATCCATGGCACTGCAAATACACTGATATTATGTAACTGTTGACCAGAGCTGCCCCTCTATGCACTACCAAAGAGTACAAGCTCCTTGCTACTAGTCAGAATGCAACAACTGCCAACTTGGTACTCTCAAGATGAAAAATTACAGCTACTAATCAGTGAAGATTGTAACAAAGTTAAGGCAGTTAAAATCAAGATCATGGAAGAAAGGAACTGGAAAACCACATCATAAACTGGAAACAAGAAAAATCACTAATCCTGTTCATTAAACATAGGAGGAGTATTGTCCAGTGCGTAGGGAAACCTATTTACTCCAATTAGGACTGAGTATGGTGAGTCTTGACTGACAATTTTAAAAGTCAAGTGTAGTGAGCTTAAAAATTCTAATCTGATTTGCCGTAACAGATTAGAATGCTATGGAATCAAAACACTCAACCGAGAGATTTTTTCTTTTTTAACAGTAATGTTCACCCTGTACAAGGCCTGGGGGCCACTCGAGGTAGAGCAGTTTATGTGGATAGGAGAGGAAGATAATGGTTAACCCTAGACTTGAACAGGTTAAAATAGTAGTAATCAGTTCCACAGAGCAGTGGTTCACGGGAAGAAGCTGTTTGAGCAGAACTTACTTTTCACCAATGAAATACAGAGGGAATATGAGTGGTTTGCTACAATGTGAGTGGCAAGGCCGGTCCTAGCCAAGACTGTTTCTGTCCCCACAAATATCCTGTACAAGTTGGAGAACATTGAAATGCAAGCATCTATATTTTTCTTGTTTTTTCTGCTTTTCCTTCCTATGTTGGTCAATGACACCAACACAATGCCTTACTAATTGATTACTATTTAGTGTTCAAAACTTTTCTAATTATCTTGAGTTTAGAAAAATGTATTTTTTCTATGAATAATGAAGACCAATTGTAATTTACAGAATATTCATTGTCTTCTATCAAAACATTACATAAAATTCTCAAGGACACATGGCCCAGTGGATAAAAGCATTGGTTAGATCCAGTGACTTCACCCAGAGTTGTGAGTTCAATACCTGGCTACTGCAGAGGTGAACAAAAACATGGAGAGTTTAGTTAGCTGAAACATCTTGAAGAGGCATGGCATGTGGAACTAGATCAAACTACCCTGGTGGATAAAATAAAGGGTTCAGTTCAAAATTTCAATCACTTGAAGAAAGCCAGAGCATACAATGGCCAAAACATTGTGACAATTATTATGAACTCGAATGTGAGTCCAAGTAATAAATGAATAATACAAAACAATATAAAACAAATGACAATGCATGTATTAACAAAAGAATTACAATGGCAATAAAAGGAGAAAACATTTAAGGACTAGTTTCATAAAGAATTTAAAATAGAGGATGTATTTTTTTGTGTGTGAAGTTTGTGTAGGTCTACATGATAGACATGTTTGGGAAAGAGTATAAAAAGTCACAAGAGAAAAGTAAGACATTGAAAATGAATGTGCCCCAGTTTTTCTCCACATATGACTACATCTTATAGCCAGAGTTGTACAAGAGGAAAGAGAATGAGTGAGACTATCATTGCCTATTTATAGGTTTAAGGCGTGTCCTCTTGTGAGTTTTTTTTTGTTAGGAAAGGCAAATAGGATAATACACAATTATTATAATTCTACAAATGATTTGGAATATTCTTATTTACTTTTATCATAGCATTTAAATTGATATACTCCTTAGATGTTTTTATAGCTGCTACCAAATGGCTGATGTGTAAAGGAGTTGGCTTCTTGATTAAAACAGGTTGTGGAGACAATCCCAGTGTGTGACATGATTGGGAAATGCTGGAAAGTCACACCATGAGAACTGCCCACAATCATTGCAAGAGAGTTCTAGAAAATGCAAAATGTAGCTATACTTGAGCATTTCAGGCCAAAGTTGAAAGTAAACAGATTGGATCCTGAGAGTTCTGGTATATCTCTTACAAAAGATCTCAAAAAGCCATCCATTTCCCAACTTCCTCCATCCCACTGAGCACAATCTCCACACTATTTTCATTACATGCTGGGAAGTCCCTACACTTATAAAATAATATTTACTCTAAGTCACTGGTCCAGCCAAAATTTTAGTGGTTGTCAAAATTAACTGGAGCTATCCCCAAAATCTGTGTAAGGTTTCAAGTGTATGCCTGGTTTTTAAAAATGTAGGTGAGCACTTATCTCTCTCACATTATATACCCATCAGTCTCCCCAGTGTCATTAGCAAACTCTTTGAAGCTATAATCAATAAGAAAGTTATTGATCACCTCAATAGGAACAACTTCTTGGTCAACTGATGATATCCTAACTGTGATTACTCAAATTAGAATTGGTGAGACATTTGACAACAAATACATCCCAAGGATGATTGCATTAAATATTTAAAAGGCTCTTTACAAGGTGCAGCATAAAGAGTTACTGCTCAAACTCTCTAGGAATCACTGAAGTCTTTCCTAATGGTTAGGTCTGTTATGGTAGTTGTTAATGGCCAATCCTCTGAGTCCCAGGCAATCAATATGGACATCCCTCAAGGTGTGCTTCTCAGTCCAACCCACTTTCTACTCTATATAAATAATCTGCCTAAGAGTATACACTGAACATTTGTGAGAATCACTAGAAGAGTCTCCTCAGTTATAAAGTTCTTCCTAATGGTTAGGTCTGTGATGTTAGTTATAAATGGCCAGTCCTTTGAGTCCCAGGCAATCAATATGGGCATCTCTCAAGGTTTGATTCTCAGTGCAACCCTCTTTCTACTCTATAGAAATAATCTGCCTAAGAGTATACTCTGAACATTTTGTGAATATCTATGCTAATGATACAATAGTATATGAGTGCCCTTCCAAAACCCTTGATGACCAGAGGTGGGCAACTGATCTCACTTCTGACCTAGCTCTAACAGCACAGTTGGGGAAAAAAACTGGCTGGTCACATTCAATGCCTCAAAAACCAAACTAGTTACCTTCCACCATTGCTAAGTGGACTCAGAACTTTCACCAATTGCAATGAACAGATGTTCCCTCAGGGAGGCCCCATGCCTTGAGCACCTTTTGGGATTTAAACTCAGCCCAGACTTCAAGTAGAAAAATGTTCACTCCAACAAAAGCCAGATCAAGCTGAAGATAGAGTGAGATGTAAATTCCACTTAAATGGCTTCCTCCCATTAATCACTGCCTTGTGGAATCGACTTCCAATCACTTCAGTCTTAACTTAGATTAGGTTATGGTTAACCATTACTTTCCACACATATCTGTACATGCTGCATTCTTACTTTGTAACCGTTTGCCTTGAGTGGCCTTCAGGCCTTGTGCAGAGTGAATATTATTGTAAAAAAAATTTTTAAATCAGATTCTGACACACAGGAAATCCAGTATTCTGTGTGAGAGGGTAACAAAAAAAAAAAGAAAAAAGATTTACTGCTAAGGAAGAAATCTGCAAGATTAGGTTTGGTCAGAAGTTTCTGTGGAATCAAAATTATGACAATGAACCTCAAGGCATTTAAGATCTTGTCTAATGTTCTATCTCATCTGAGGAAGGGCTTACCCTTTATCTAAAATATTTTAATAAACTTAATGGCATCGAATATTGTAAAATGTTTATATCAATGCAAATATAAAGAATTTTGATCTAATCTTGAAATGACTAATAAATTGAGGAGAGTAAACCTCCATTCTTTTTTTTTCTTACAGTTTTTATACTTCATGCTGACCACCCCCTGACCTATGCCCCACCTTCACCTATGTGTTAAAACAGAAAGGTACTAGTGGTACCAACATATTTTGACCAACTTATTTTTGATTAAGCACCCAAATTAAGAATTTACAAAAGAATTCTTCTTCCACCCCAGTTTTTAGATCCACAACCTAAACTTATGCATGAAAATGTAGAAACAATTAGGGAGAAAATTTTTATAAATTCGAAAGGGCTATTTATAAATTCTGCAATTTTCCAGTTTTATTTAAGAAATAATGAAACTTTTGTTGTAGAAGAGATAAATCAATGAGGTTCAGTTGTGCACAATGTTCAAAAATACTGTCTTTGAAATATCAAAATAGTGAAAAAATACAATGAAGACAAAACAGTTTAAATATTCATATGTATTTATAAATCATAGTTAAGAAAATAAAAGATTCTCATAAACTTTTTATGTATCATAGAAAATCTCACAAATATTCACAAGTTTTTTTTCTTTAAGCCAAAAAAGCTTTAAATACACATTTTCTAATAAACTTTTTTATTTCAAACTCTATTTTATTTACTAAAAATGATTTTTGATATCCTAAATTTTAATACTTAATACAATAAAAATAACTTCTTTTTTTCTGGCAGTCATTAAAACCATATCTATTAAAAGGATGTTGCATCTAATTTATAAATACTGATATGTTTTGTGCAGTAAATTTGTAGTTAACATTTTATTAAATTTAAATTCTATTTATATTGCAGCTGGTTGTAAGGCCTTGCAAAGCAGTAAAGACATCCAGGTGTCTTTTTCTAGCCATGGTGGTTCCAAAAGAATGACAGTCATTTGCAACCCTGAAACACATTTTCCAGCAGACAATGTCACACAAGTGGAATGTCGTAACAACAAATGGATTCCACGAGTACCAAAATGTAAACCGAGTAAGTCACACTTTTATTTTGTTCTTAAATTAGTGATAATAATTAATTAGATTTTGTGAGCAATATATTTTTATAGCTTTTCTATTTTGACTTTGTAAATTTAAAATTATTTCCAATGTAGTACCTTTGTAAAAGTAACTGCTGTCATATCTTCAGTAATGTAGCTTTATCATAAAAGGTTATAACAGTGTACTCAAAAGCACATGTTTGGGTTACACATGGTCAAATGAAAGTAAAACCTGTTATCTAGTTATGTGACTAAAGTGCTTGTCAGAATTACATGTCTTTAATCATGAAAATGTATATAAATATAAAGCAACTGAGAGTTGCAGTCAGATAAAGAAAGGCAATCAAACAGAGAAAAGTTGCATTAAAATATTCTACCTTTATTTACGTTATTTATGGTTAGACTAATATCCTCATCTTTGTTTTTATCACAACATTTGGGCTGTTGTACTCTCTTCTATCCTATTTCAGGTAGCCAGCAGAGAAATTCAAACTGAAAATCTATAGGGATAGATTCTTCTCATTCTACTGTCCATGTCTAAAAATATTTCATCTTTCTCATTTTTTAAGCACTGATCAGCTATTGTTCATTCTCTTTCATCTGATTCTGTACTACCCAGTCTAAGGATTGAACAATAACTATACTTCCAATTTCACAAATAAACACTTTCATTCTGCAGATTATTGTCATGTGGAACAATTCTAAAGCTTGAATTCAGAGCCTTAAATCTAGTGTTCTTATTGTTTCCTGCTGAAGCCTTGCTGTCAAGCTTGGCTTCCTCTGCCACCATTTCATTCATTCCCTGGAAGTTACCCAGATCCCCATACACCTGAAAAATGACACACTTGCCAAAATATTATGATTGTAAAATAAAGACATTAGTCTGACTGTAAATAAGATAAATAATGATAACTCCTCATTGCAGAAATTCAGACAGAAATTATTCTGTGCTTCTGCTCAAAATCATGTGACATGCTTTCTTTATTTGACAGAAGAAGAAACTTTATTCTTTTGCTCGTCTTTCTCTCTCCAAGCCAATATGATTCTCAGATATTAATTTGCTTGTTAGAAATTCTCTTTCATTATCACCCACAATGACTAAAAGTCTACAGGGTGTATTTCTACACCCTACAAAGATTACTCAACATTCTACAAGTGTTTTCTTTTATTGCACTATACATTTTAAATAGAAAAATTATATCTCTTATCTTTTAAATTGCTTGCTGTGTAATTTATCAAGTGTTTGTTGATATAATTTATGCAATAAAATCAAAAGTAATGTCACTTTTGATTTGTATGACCTTTTTTACCTATTTTTTTTTTTTAAAGAGCCATGTCTGATCTTGGACTTGCCTCATGGTTTTTACAAACATTATGGCAGTATTCTTACACCAGGCAATCAATTACTCCATGGAGAAAGAATGTTTGCATCCTGTGACCCTGGATATCATATTATTGGGATTAATTATTCTGACTGTGAATTTGGGGCATTTTCCAACTTCACCAACATTGAATGTAAAGAAAGTAAGTCAATAATTATTGGCATTTGATATTTTCAGATAATTCAGAATTGACTTTTTGCTTGAATAAGATTAAGGTTGCCAATCATGTTTTATTAGAAAGGATTAATCTTTTATTTATCTCTTTGTTTGAATTTGAAAGTTAAAAATCAATGTCATTTTCTATTGTATTTTATGTCAACAGAAATTAAGTTGAAAATTACTATTTATATATATTTTCTTAAATCCTTTATTTGACAGAATTGGCAACCTTAAGTCAGATTCTCTTCATCTTGGAATTTGTTTTCTGATATTTTTTATATGTCACCAAAATTCCATTCAAAACAATAAATGTAAACATTTTGTTTGAATATTTTTTAATTTTTCATCAGAATATTTATTTTGGGGATTTGTTCTTTGGTTTTAAAATTTTGTAAATGAAACTTTATCAATTGATGTTTATGTCAGCAGTTTGAGTGAAATTCCAAACAATCATTATTTTCATCTTCAGCAATTTTTTTTTTTTAAAGAAGAATAGGACATTGCTGAAAAGCAGATATTACTTAACAACGTGTGAAGAACAAAATGAAGACGAGGTGTGAATTTCAAAAGGTGGATGTTATAAAATTAAAATCATTTGGTGCTTAGCAAATAAAGTAATAAAAACATCAATTTTCTCATGAATATGGTGGTTTGAAAAAAAAAGATCCACCACTTCCTCTGTTGGTACTTTTGTTACATCTATCATGATGTTGTCAGTGTACAAATCAGTGACTTCTTTTGTCTTATTGCCCATCATCAGCACAATTTTTAGGAATGCTCCCACAATTTTTGGTACAGCATTAAGTTCAAATTCCAACCGAGTCAGGCAGTAAGTTTACTGATAGTGTCCCAGCTGGTACTGCCATAGTTTCTCTCCAACGTGTAACTGCAGGTAGATCAACTTAAGGTCCATGATTATAGTTCCTCCTGCCAACTAACTCCATTTTCTCATCTTTTCATCACAAACATTGATTATGTAACTCCCAGTATGGCCCTCTACATAATGATTCAACTCCTGAAAGTCTAGTATTGGCCTGATTTTCCCTTTTGTAATTTGGACCATTACCATCAATGATAACACTCCTTTTATTTCACCCTTTCATGGCAAGAGAATACCCTCCATAGTCCATCTTTCCACCTACTTCTCAAATTTTAACTCTTTTTTTTTTTTCTTCTTTCAAAGAATTCTTGTAGTATTCCACCTTATTTTTGATACTGGAGACTCTCCTATCCAATTCCATTCCATTGTCCATTTCTTTCCATCAAACTCTGATGTGAAGTTCTTGTCTTCAATTTTGAAAGGGTTCAGAATTTGGGCAGCTGTCACACAATGCATCTTTCCAAACTTCACCTCACCATTTTTTTACAGTTACACCTCCCAGCTTATTGATTACATTTATTCCAGCAACAATGTCAATCCTGTCAATGATAAGACCAACAATAATTGTCTCCATTTTTATCCTTGCTCAACCTAATTTTATCTCTGTCTGCTGGGTTACTTTACATTTTACTCCCCTTCCATCAACTGCTTTCACAGTACCACCCCCACTTTATCTGCTCACAAGCTTGGGATTAAGTAAAGTGATTGATTGGTAAACGTTGGTACTGTGTCTTCATTCTGTTGATGGAGTAGCTACTGGCAAAGAAGCTCTTCTTTGCTCATTTCCCTGAGCCTGACAGCAATACCTTGCAATATGCTCCAATCTCTTGCAATTATAGTACATTACTTTTGATCTCAGTGGCTCCTTACAGTCTCTAATTAGGTGCAATCCTAGGCATCTATAGCACCTAAAGCTCGATGATTCTATATGACCGCTGTTTTCTTTTGGTCCCACACTTTGTGCAATCACTGCCACTGTTCTGGGCTCTTGAAATCTTTTTCTGACCAAAAGCCTTGCAGCTGGTATCATTTTGCAGAGGTCCATCTTTTCCATATCAGGCAATTATTCCAGAGCCACAGATACGTTGTCCAGAAAACCTGTCATAAAAGCTAGTTTTGCTATCTCTCCCTAGACATCCTGAATATATAATAACCTTTGGATATTATTGGCATAGATATCCACTAATTCTCATTTCACTCTCTTGAGCTTTTCATAAGCTTCAAAGAGCCCTTCAGTGAGTGCTTTCTTCAGTTTGATCTCTATCATGTCATCATCCAACTGGTCCTCATCACTCATTTTAAGGTAGAGGGCAAGCACATCCCCTTGCAGAAAAAGTGGAAGGAAACTAACAATGTCTGGCACTTTTTGAAGCTTGTTGACCAATTTCATCTTCTTTATCCATGTGACTATATCATATCCATTAAACAATGGTAATTTGTTTTTTCCCCAGTTTGACATTTCTATAAATGAAATCACTTGTCACTGCTTTTTTTCCCTCACCATGAGATAAGCAAAATTCCATTTTCTCTTCTTCCTTCATTTTAAACTATATGAATATTTGACTTTAATTATTGTCTGCCACTCTTTTTCATCAGTTAAAATAATTGAACAACTCTTTTTTCATGGCTTTAAATATTTCTAAACCTAGTTTCAGAAATTGTATTGTAGCAATGGTGCTTAAAAGAAAACTCTTGATTAAATTCACAAATCAAAATACCTAATATTTTCAGATGAATGTTCAGCACCTAAAAGATTTGGCAATTACTCAATAAGCAGTTTGGGTAACAGACTACATGGACAGTGGTCACATAGTTCACAGGTTTCAATAAACTGCCCATCTGGTTACTCCCCAAAAAATGGATATGGAACAGCCATTTGCGTTCTGGGCCATTGGGTACCAGCAGAACTGGATTGTTTACCAAGTAAGTATATGACTCTTTTGCTAGTAATAATAAGCAATAGTAATATTTATATTGTTATTTATGAGCTGAAAAAGCTCAGTTGGTATAATGCTAAATGAAATATCGAACAGTCCTCATGCACGGATATTGATCTACAAGCCAAAATAGTTTTGTAAGGAGAATGTTAAAATGAATATTGCAAGGATATGACTTTCAACATCAAGTCCTGTTTTGTGTGAATTTTAAGTTGAGTTTTTAGTCTTTTTACTAAGATCACAGTTCTTATTGTCATTTCAAATTAATCTTACAGACCAGTATGCATCTAAGTGAATTTGCTACAAATAAACACAGATTAAAATTTAATATACCTGTGAAATATTTAGACAGAGAAATCAACCTGTAGTTTTAACAATGCATGTAAAACCCACACAGATATTGTGAATTGTATATTTTTGTCAATTCTTCTCTTTGGTTTCAATTGATATTTCTCATAATTCCTTTTTTTTCAGATATGTGTATTCTTCCACAACTACCCAATGGCTATTTCCTGTTTAGAAACCATTGGCCAATAAGAGATGAGCAGTTAACTCATGGGAAATTTATTGAAGCCTTTTGTGATTCACACCATCAAATGCATGGGGAGAAATTGATTGGTTGTTATTATGGCAAATGGATCCCAAAAATTCCCACATGTGAAAAGAGTAAGTATGAAAATGATTTTCAGAGTGCATTTAAATTGATTATTTGGCCATCATTAAATGTATGGGAAAACAGTTGGGAAATGAATGAAAAAATATTTTTCAAAAATTAAAAAGTGGAAAACTACTAAATGAAAAAAGAAAACCAATGATTGTAAAAAGAAAAACTAATATCTATTAGTATTGATTAATTTTGATGGTATATCAACCCTTTGTGTGTTATTTAAAGTTGAAATATATTATCAACCAAATTCTGCATAGACCAACTAGAATTATGATAGACAACCACACAAGAATTATACACACAAATATTAGTAGACAAGACAAATACACATGAGGTCTACTTAACCAATGAAAAACAAACACAAAAATGAAAAATACTAGGACTTTCTTTTCCATATTTAATTTCTGATAAAACTTAGATATAAGCAAAATATATAAAATGTTTCCTATTTGTTCCTCTATTCTATCATAAAATTCTCTGAAAGTTAACTGGATAAACAGATAACCTGAAGAAGGCCAAATGTCTTAAACAACGTCATAATAACAACAAAGATGATGATGTCAGTTCAAATGTAAATCATGTAAATAACTCCTCATTCCAGAAATTCGGACAAAATAAAAACAAAGATGAGGATATTAGTCTGAATGTAACTCATGTAAATATCTCCTTGCCCCAAAAATTCAGGCAGAAATTATTTTGTTTTAGTTTGTTTGATGCACAAAGTTTTTATTGACATTAAAATTGTTAAATTACCTCAGATTTTTTTAATTTTCAAAAGGTTGATATTTTGATTGTTGCTTTGGTTGTAGAGATGTGTTCTGCTCTCCGAAATAGCAGCATTTCTCCACTTGTTTACCTTCTAACCTCAAATGCAACTGTTCTATCTTTGAACAATTCTGGGACATCTTACCCCCACGGAAGCACTGCTCAATTAAAATGTGATTCTTCAAAGTACAGACCAGTCGGTGGCATTTTACAATCTGTGTGTCAGTTTGGCAAATGGTCAGTCGACAAATTAAACTGTGAACCAAGTGAGTGTTTTTAAACTTTAATTAAATTTGATATCAGATTGATTTATTGATTTTTGGTTTCATTTAACAAATTTTTCTTCATGGAAATAATTATTTATTTGGCAAATATCTAAATAGTTTCCAATATGAAATCATTTAAAACAAATTTATCCAAAATCTCCAGATAAGGAAGTTTCATTTTTCTCAAATATTGGGGAAAAAACTTTAGAAATAAGCTTTATTAAAATATTTTTTTCTTTCATAATCGAAAATTCATTATGTAAAATTTAAAATGTTTGAATTATTATAAAGAGAAATAAAAAGTTCAAATTATAAAATGAAATGTTTAGGTTACCCCACTTGGCTTTGCCAAATGTTTATTAAGGCTGTTTAAACCTATAAAAAGACTAATATTTCCTTCCTCTTTCTTCCAAGATGTAGCAAAATGTGGATGAGAACATCCCCACCGGGGTACGTCTGTTTCCCCCGATGACAGATCACTGAACTCTTACACACACACACACACACACACCTGCATTTATCCCACACACAAACAAGCACATACTTAATAGCTAAGTTTTTAACATCTTTTCCTTTCCTTTCAATTGTGTACACATTAATGTAATTTCTTTTTTTATTACATACATTGTTAGTTTAAAATCAATGTTTTATATCCTATTTTTTTTACTCAGACTCACATGATTCTGCAAAATATTGTTTGTTGAACAAATACATCAGGAGCTATTAAATATTTACTGAAAAACATCCATACCTAAGAACAAAAGAGGTGATTCCCATAACAAATGATTGAATTATAAAATAAAAGTGATTATATTTTCAAAAGGAAATGATAATAATAATAATAATTTGTATGAATTGGTATGAACATCACTCAGACCCAGTTACGGAGATAGGATCTGTAACAATTTTATGGTACTACACAATACACACAGACAGAATAAACAAAGCTAATTATTAGAGACCACAAACAAAAAAATTGCCTCCTTATTGATATGGCAGTCACTGCAGACTGTAATGTATCTTTGAAGATCTTCGAAAAGCTATCAAAATACAAAGACCTTGGAATTGAAATCTCAAAAACATGGCGCATAAGAACATCAATGATCCCTGTTGTAGTTGGAGCCCTCAGATTGATTGGAAAAGATTCCAATAGGCTCACTGAAGGGATTTCTGGTAGCCCATGCCATAAAGAAATACAAAAGATTCTTCTTATAAGTACAGCTACACCTTGCAAAGGGCTTTTATCTATGCAAAATATTATTTTTTTTCTCTCAGTGGAAAATGTCATGATGCCATTTCTGACCTTAGGTCTCTGGGCAGGACCCAGAAAGAAATAAGTACACACCAGAAATCAAAGGAAGAAGAAATAATAATAATAATAAAAAATAAATAAATAACAATTTTTGACTGTCATTTTTGAGATGATTTCTTATTATTTAATGAGACATTTACATCCTCACAATTGTTGTTTTGATAACAAATTTTGGTTGTTAATGTCGATATCTATAGATCACTACATGTGACTTAGACTGGAGAAAAATGAGGAAATTAAAAGCTAAAATGGGAAAAACAACAAAGATGAAGATACTGACTTGAATAGAGTGTAGAATAAATTCAGAACTGTGTTATCATTTGTATAACTTCTGTTTATGTTGTATGATAAACACTATTGTGTTCATTGATAATGTTGAATAAGATTGAATTTGAAGATTGTGTAATGAGAATTCCATGTCAATAGATAATGTCATTGACGTTTTTTTTATTTTATTTTCTATTTTCCAGTTCCTTGTCCACCACTGGCCAACACTACCAACTCCAGAATCACCATCCATAATGCCTATGCTGACCACATCCCTCATGGAAGTGTGGCTGAATTACACTGTGATAACTCCAGATTCACCCCCTTGGATAACCATAGACGATCAGCCTGTGAATATGGTCATTGGTATCCAGCCCAACTGAAATGTGAACCACGTAATTAGTCTTCAGTTATTTTGAACAGAAATTATTTTGTAACATTGATATTAGTTTTTATTTGCTTTTGATGAAGATAGACATGCTCATGTATATGAACACACAGAAATGTAGATAGGTTTGTCTATCGCCTGTCCAGTACTCCTTCCATGTTTGTTGAACATGAGTAGAGGTTTATCCCTTGTTTCCTGTTTAGTATGTGCTTTGCTCTCTTGTCCCCCTCTTTCTTTCTCTCTCTTGAACCCCCCTCTTTCTTTCTCTCTCTTGTCCCCCCTCTTTCTCTCTCTCATACCCCTCCTCCTTTCTCTTGTCCCCATCCTTCTCTCTCTCTTGGCCCTGTCTTTCTCTCACTCTCTCTCACTCTTGTCACCCCTTTTTCTCTCTCTCTCTCTTGTCACCCCTCTCTCTCTCTCTCTCTCTTGTCACCCCTTTCTCTCTCTCTCTCTTGTCACCCCTTTTCACTCTCTCTCTCTTTTTCCTTTTCACTCTCTCTCATCCCCCTTTTTCTCTCTCTCATCCCCCCTTTTTCTCTCTCTCATCCCCCTTTTCTCTGTCTCTCTCAATCCCCCCTTTCTCTGTCTCTCTCATTTAGGGAGTTTTTCTCTCTCTCTCTCATCCCCCCTTTTCTCTCTCTCTCATCCCCCTTTTTCTCTCTCTCTCATCCCCCCTTTTCTCTCTCTCTTTTCCCCTTTTTCTCTCTCTCCTTTTTAACTTGAGAAACAGATTAATTGAAATGTCTTCTTTTTGTTTTTTTCACTTTATAGGCCATTGCGAAATATCTGATTCTCGAGAAACTCACTACATATTGCTCAATGGTGAACGACTTCAGGGTGAATATGTCTCAAGTGGGAACCACATCAATGTTGTTTGTGAAAAGAAACATTTGGGTGTCACTCTTGCCCTGTGTTATCAAGGTAGATGGGTTCCTCCCCTACCTTCCTGTTATGATGGTAAGTCCACATGTGTTAGCAGTAGGTAATAGCAAATTGGTGCTATGACTGATATCTTCAAATTATTGTTGTTAGATTTGGAAAAAATCCAAATTATGTACCATTGTTGTGCCATAATTTTTTTAAAAAATCAAATTCACTTGGTAGAAAGAAAGTGGTTTCTTTATAAAACCTTCCATACTGAATTTTTATTAGTTGTACCGAGATAGTATTGATAGTCATGATCTAACAGTAGGGAATGGAAAATGACTGTTGCTTATCAGTCTCATTTGAAAGAGGAGGTAAGTCATTGCATTTTTTATTTTGATTTTTGTTTTTAATTTTTTTTTATTGCATGAAAATGAACTTTTTCTCTTGCTATAATTAAAATTCTAATCAAACATATCAGCCTATCTTAGTCTGACACAGGGACAAATGAATAAGAAGAGTGTGTAGCACCAAACTTTAAACTGAGGTGAAGCTGCTGGTTTTAATAATCAGCATCCAAAACCTTAGCTTTTATTTGGGTTTGAATACCAAAACACTCATCCGGGCTCGTAATCGTTCAATAAATATTTGTGTAAGTGCCTGCACCCAGTTAGCACTTCAGTCCTTTCATTGAACAACATTTGCTTGTCTGGATAAGTTGCTATTGCCAGATTCTCCTCCTGACATAGACAGCAGACTTTATCATGGACTCTGCCCAGGTTGACTTTTCTAGTTATCTTCCACTTCACACTTGGATCTCTACCGTTCTTTTGTTTGTACCTCTAGATGCAAACCACCAGTTTTGTATCACTTTTGTGGCTCTCCGATCTAAATGAGTTAGTATGATCGTAAAATCACTTTTTAAAGGGGCCCTTTGTGCAACCAATATACACTTTTCCAAAGCTGCTACCCTCACTAACTTCTGCCAAATAGACTATACCCATCTTACAGCACCCACCATTTAAAGGACAAATATTTTTGTTCCTGCAATTACAGGGTAAATCTTTGTCTTTATTGCCATTATTAGCTTCCCAAATTTTTGAATTGTGGCTTTTTACAATGTTTTGTAAGTTGCTCGTGCAACTGTAGCTCTAAAGAAAACAAACAAAACTGATATATATATATCAACAAATATATGTATTAAACAACAAATTTACAAGTGACAAAGATATCAACATTTGTGTTTGTGTGTGAATGTAAAGAGTTTGTATTTTGGTGAATGTTCATCTTTTGGAATCTGCTTTTTTATTCTTGAACTATATATATATATATATATATATATATATAATTAATCATGCATATTCACTAATATTTGATATTTGGATATTTTTTTATGTAGATATTTACTAACATACTGACATAATAATATTTTATATAAATAAATATTTCAGATAATATTAACATATTTAATTAATGCATCTTTTTGGAATGTTTTATTCATGTATTTATTAATATATAATTGATATAATTTCATTTATTATATATATATATATATATATATATATATATATATATATATATATTGAATGTAGAGGGGAAAACAAAATAAAACTGAGCTTCATATAATTTGACTTGATCTTGCGAATGCATATGGATCAGTTCCTCATGAGTTAATTTGAATGTCCCTCCCTTTTTAATTTACCTAGTAAGGTTGGGGAAATTATGAAATATTTCAGAGCAGCATTTCTGTAGTTCATCATTGGTATTTACACCATCAAGTGGTAAGCCTTTGAGGTCAGCATCATGATGGGGTGTGTGATGTTAGCACTTCTTTTCATTATGTCCATGGAACACATATTACGCGGTGCAGTGGACACAGCAAAGGAAAGGGAGTGATGACTAAGAAACAAATGGTCTTTCCTCTTTCCAGAGCATTTATTGATGACTTCACCATTCTGATCCCATCAAAGGTCAGTGCTGACAAACTGCTGCAGTGCTACCATAAGCTCTTCATGTGGGCAAGAATGAAAGTCTAAACTTAAGAAAAACCAGAGCTTAACATTACTCAGAGACTCTGCCCAGGAGATTCACTTCTGCATTGAGGGGTGACATGATCTCAACAGTCAAAGAGAAGCCAGTGAAGAGCCTCAGATCGCTGTATGAATTTCCACTGACTGATCAGCATCGAGGTAAAGAGGTGCTGAAAGTGGCACTATATTGACTTGAATCCATTGACTGAAGGCTTGGTGCTACCAAAATGGTTTGCTGCCCCAGCTTCTGTGACCATTGCAGGTGTACGCTATTACTCTCACATTCAGTAGACACAACAGTGTATCGACAAGTATCTGTACAAGTAGTTCGGAGTTACTCCTGCTGCTCCACAGTAGAACTCTATACCAATGCCAGAAACCTGTAACTTCCCATCTCCTCATTGGTGGGGGAGTTCAATGTTGGGAAGGTATGCCTTCACATGATGAATCACTCAGCCAATGTATTCATCCTCAGGTTACAGCCAGATATCAAAATTGGCACCAAATGTTCAAAAGTAGAAGCCATCCAAGAAGTAGAATTCAATCTGCGAACCATGGAAATTAAGGGGTTAACCCAAATCAATCAAGCTGGCCTGGATGGCACAAACAACCAGTTTTTCTCAAAACAGGGTCCAAAGGGTAAACGAGACATGGTGATTGAAGAAATCAGCAATTTTTGAGAAGAACAGTAAACAGCTACTGCTGTTTCTTGATCCAAACAATGTGCTTAGACTACATGGAGTGATATGGATTCAATGTGGCTATCATGGAATACTCTGATTGCAATGGAGCCATTGGCAATATCATTCCTCCTGCAATCTACTTATTTTATCCTACCAAATGTGACCAACTTCAAGCTGTGCGAGCTTTTGTGGTAGGTTGCAGTTGTATGATATTACTCTGTCCCACGCTCAGTGTATCAACAAGTACCTGCACAAGTGGCTTGGAGTTACCCTTTGCTTCTCTACAGTGGAAGTATGTACCAAGGCAACTTACCATCTCCTCATTGGTGCAGAAGGTATGCCTTCATATGATGATGAGGAACTTGGCCAATCAATTCATCTGCAGGTTACGGCCAGATTTCAGAACTGGCACCAAATGATCAACAGTAGAAGACATCCAAGAAGGGAGTGATGACTAAGAAACAGCCAATGTGCTTGTACTACATGGAGTGATATTGAGCCAATGAAGCTATCCTGGAATACTCTGATTGCAATGGAACTATTGACAATATCATTCCTCCTGCAATCTACCTATGATCTCCTACCAAATGTGACCAACCTCAAGCTGTGAGAGTACACTAACACTGATGTATGCACATTATGTCAAAGTGATCAAAGCACTTTACAGCATGTGTTCTCTGCATGCCCACAATCACTGCTGATGTACATGTGTTATAACAAAGTGCTGGAAGTGGTCACGGACTTAGTCAGTACACAGTGTGAAGCAGCCAACAGTCTGTCACAGCCAGAGAATCTAAGATCCATTTTCACAAGAAAGGTGAACGCCTTGTGTAAAAGACCCAATTATCTCCCAACATGACGCTACTGATTGGAGCCAGTTATTGGAGGGTGTTAGTTGATCTTAGAACACATCTGCAATTTCTGGTATAGATTATTCAGACAGACACATGCCCTGACATTGTAGCATGGTCTGATTCAAAGAAGTGTGTCCTAGTAGAATTAACCATTCCATTGGATGAGAATAGGGAGGAGGTGCCTGAGCGAAAGAAAAACCGCTATGAATTGCTGCAATCCGACTGCATAGAAAAGGGCTGAACATGTTATATGTGTGACCTATTGAGGTCATGTGTCGTGGATTCCTTGAATGGGTTATCATTTCCTTTCTTTTTGAAGGTGGGCATCACTGTCTAAAACCTGAAGCACGATGTCCAGATGACAGCTCAACAGGCATTAAGTCATATCTAGTCAAGATCCCAATAAACAAAGTTAAATAAAACATTCTCGCAACATGATGCGACTTCCAACATGAAACACTTCTGTTTACTTTCCATTCTACATCATTGAAAATGTATTGGTTAATGATCAAAAGCAAATGCTTTTAACACAACATTGAAAATCTGTTACAGTTGTAAAAAGAAATCGCAAGAGATGGACACTTCTACAAAAAACAATACCCTGTCCTGTGGACAAAGCTTCTGGTGGCGATAGGGTTGGCAGTACCACCTTAATCATCAAAACTGTTACCTCCCCTGGTTGGTTGCTGACAAAGGCAGGGTATCACATGTGCTTTCACACATTGTATGCAGAAAATAATACTTTGACATATATTTGGCATATATCATTCAATGATATATATATATATATATTTGATATATTACTTTATTTAATGACAGATAATTGACATATTTTATTTATTGACATATATATTTGATATAATAAGATTTTATTAACATTAATATTTTGTACTGAGCAAACCAATTAACAGAAAATCTAACACAATAAATAAAAATCACTTTTGGGGTGAAACCACGTTTATGTTTTAAAATAATTTTCACCATTTTTTTTTATTCCTGCTTCTGTATCAGACCATGATATTGATTCAAAATTTACTTTATTTTATATATTATTCAGATCAGTATCTTTATCTATATTGTTTTTATCCTAAATTTTCAACAGATATGTTCTTCAGCCTTCCTTAGGTGTATGTTTCATCCAGTGGTCTTTAGATATCACTGTACATATTATTCAGACTAGTATTTGCATCATGGTTATAGAGTACCGATTGCAGGACTTCTTTTCTCTAACAGCCATCATTGCATGCCTGTGATAAAATCTTTTTCAAGATGCTTGACGAGAGAACAGTGCAGTACAGCTAAATTCATGCCTTCTCTCATAGTGTACAAAATCTACCCAAACAACCCAACATCCCCATTTTTTTTTCACTACACTATCAACATGTTCAATGCTAACATTTTTTTCTTTGCTGACATGTAAAGACCAAGAATAAAATGGTGGGGATTCTCCAGGCCCCAATGGCATCAGTGGAAAGCAGGTATTAATCACAGTAGTGTGCAGAGGACAACAAGAATACTCAGGGTTAATTCAAAAATGGGATGTTAATGTCATTTGGCATATCACAGGTAAAGTAATTGCTTTTTTTATTTTTGGCACTGCATATATCAAGATAACTGGTTAAAATTAAGCTTTTCCGAAAGTTGTTTGAAATGAAAAAAACATTGTGTAAAATTTTAAGACATTTTTATGTTTATAAATTCTTTTTATAGATATAAAAATAAATTTTTCTATTTTTCTATGATAATTTCTCGGACATTCAGGCTAGTAAAGGTTGTTAATACTGTTTATTATAAACAGAGCATTTACTTAAATATTTGTATCTATAAAGATAAAAATGTCTTAAAATAATTGTTGGATTTTGTCCATTTCGTAATGTGTGATGTCATTTGTTTACATTTGGATACACATCATGCAGATATGAATGTACATGAGAAAATCATGGAAAATTGTAGTTTAAAAACAGTAAAATTGACCTTGCTAACTGAAACACTCCTCTGTAGCGAAAGTACATCAGGCTATATGACGGTTTCATATAGGATATAGGTTCAATTCCTGTTGGAGGGCACATATTTTCTATGACAATTTCTCAGATATTCAGGCTGGTAAATGTTGTTAATACTGTTTATTATAAACAGAGCATTTGCTTAAATATTTGTATCTATAAAAAAGAATGTATAAACATGAAAATGTCTTAAAATAATTGTTGGACTTTGTCCATTTCATATTGTGTAAAATGTATGTTTCTCTGAGTTTTGGCATGCTACTCACTTTTTAATATTTATTAATATGCTTCATTAACATAAATTAATAATTATATAATCAATGCATGTTTAACAATAATTGATTCGATTGAATCAAGTGATTAATGAACTTGACCATACATGGATGTTATTTGTGAATGAAGCTGTGATGCACAATCCAATAAATTATCTCCCTTGACACACAAATTATTGAAGAAGAATTTCTTGCTGGTGGTCATGGCTCAGTCATTGCTGTTTTTGTGTTTTCTCATCCTGTGTTATCTTTCCTCTCCCAAAGGATGACTTGTGAGTTGGATTTTTTAGGGGCATAAGAGGTTTCATAGGTCTATACCTGCCCTCATTTGCATTAAATAACCTGACCAGACTCCAATGCAAAGAATCTCTTTCTTGCATGTGTGCACCCAAATTATTTGAACTAAGAAATTTCCTTCTAAACTAGCTGCCATCCAAGGTTAGAGACCTTAGTCTGTTCTGCTATTTAACCTATAGCTAAGAAAACAGAGATGGATTCTTGAGGGCATTATTATAAAGTGAATATAAAATATATGGCTAGAATTTGAACTCAGCATGGCAATTCCATTTTTAATGCCTGTATCTGTTATGCTGCTTAAGAATCTGCTAATTACTAAGTTCTTTATAAATGTAACAGAGGTCAACTATGACATGTTGAAATGCTCTTAGCCCAACCAAGAAGGAATTGAACTTTGATACAAGAAATATCCAACTACCTCAGCAGGCCTAGTTTAAGACAAAACTTGATATTTACTAACCTGTGCCTGCCTTGAAAATCAACATTCAAAACCCTTTCATTTACCTGGGTTTGAACACTGATCACTGATGTTGGAGGGAAATACTTAACTACCTCAGAAGGCTGAAGCTTCAGACAAGATTTGAAAGTGCATCTTGTATGTTGGGAACTCATCTTCATGTTAAGTAATAATGTTTAAACTTTTTCATTAACTGAAACCATTCTAATCAGCCAGCCTCCTCATCCCTTTTGACTTAATTATTGCTATACAAAATGAATATTTCATTAGCAACGACAGCAGGAATACTTCTGCTATATTTCACAGCTGAAGAATAAATCAGCTATAAATCAAAGGACTTTGACAAAAGTCGCATCACTTGAGGATTTCCAACAGCAACAAAGATGGGTAGCCCACGTAAGTAGAAGAGAAACCAATAATATAATTAATATGTTGATGTTCCACACTGCCTTAAACAAAAGTCTTAGAAAGAAACTTCCATAAGTATTAGAAAGAGCTATAACAGTTAATGGACTTGAGAAGTTTAATTTCCTGAAGAAATTGTTTTTAGAGAAAGATTTTATGAATTTTGACCTTCAGTAACACTAATTGTTCAGTCAACGAAGGCCTAATGTCTCCCATATGGAAGTGGCTATTCTCACATTTACCACAAATGTTTCATAGAATATAATCTGTATAACAATGAATAAATTTCATTCAGAATCTAAAACTAACTCCCAAATGATTCTAAATTTTAGGTTCATGCATCATTCATGATGTTCGATTCAGCCAGTGGATAGATATCGAGTCAAGAAGAGTAAGTCAAGAAAATTATGTTAAAAACAAGACACAAGTGTTTGTCAAGTGCCAAGCTGGTTATCGATCAAGCCAAGAGTCCGAATACGTCTTTTCTTGTCTTAATGGAAGATGGAGTCCCCAGGAGCCAACATGTCAAGAAGGTAAACAGCTTAATGTTTTTTGTTTCCTCTTTGGTCAGTGTTTGATTTTTTTTCACTTTCTTCACACTCTATTGATCGTGGGAATTGAAGTTGAGGTATTGCCTGGTGAATGTTGGTTTGTAATATACAGATGTTTTGAACCCATTCTCTGTACGAGTTATTAGTATATCCAGGAAGGCTAGCTGATTATTAATTTTTTCTTCCTGGTTTGAAGGTCTTATTGAGTTCACAGTATTTGTACAGCTTCCTGGTGTAGCCAGAGTATGAAGATGTCATCTATGTATCTCAGCCATATTGTTGGCTTTAGTGGTGCCAAAACATTTTGAGGATAATAGTTCCCATGTAGTGTAAATTAGAATTGTCAGGTTTAAATGTAAAAAGACAAAGTTGTTACTAGGACATAAAAAAAATAACCTTTAATAAGTGTTGCCAGTAATCAAAGGAAAACCAGGCAAATGTACCACCTCTACTGGGACAGAGATATTTTTTTATTGGAAACTGTTTAATCTTCTTTCTTGTTTAGTTACTTATGGTTCTGACAAAATTTCATTCAAAATCATGAAAACATTTTTCCTTGTTTCTTGCTTGTTAATATAATAAGAGAAATATTAATTGATAAATCATTTTAGAAGCTAATTTTGGTAAATTTTTGTGATTACATCAGTATTTTTATTGACCTGATGTGCATGATCAATTCCGCCCTTACTTCATAGTCATTGTTCAGGTGACTATTTAAAGCTCATAAAATAATAGTGGAGAACGAGACAGGTGTAATAGTAAAATAACACACTAATTTTGAACTTTACATGATAATGCATCTAACATTAATTGACAAATCTGTTTTCAATGAGAGATCCCTTAAAACTTAACTTTATGGACTCAGAGCAATGAATATCAGTTCATTAGGTCTTGTATAATTTAGATTAGTTTTAAAAATATTCATATGTCCAATTCAGCATTTGGGTAAAAAAAAAAAAATTTGAAACTCAATGTTTGCAGATAAAATAATCTACCCTCATTAAAAGCAGTATTGGTTTTATTTTTCATTAAATGAAGCATTTCTTACGATTATCATTCATTTTTGTATCATATTCTCGTTTTTTATTTACTTTTTATCAAAACTTTACTCAATTACTCGATTGACAGCCTGAATAAACTGAATTCATGTCCCTCTTACTCAGGGTAGCATAGTTAACAATATTCAATTACTTACCGTAAAGCTACAAGAATTTGATAGCTTTGCAGAAACTCAAATCTAACCTATAACTTCTCCCTCCATTCCACAATTACTTTTAATGCTCAATCTATGTTAATCCCATAGATTGAACATTCCAGATCAAAATTCACCCCACAGCTACATATCAGGCTATAAACTTGTTGATATACCAACATATTAATGTATCAATAACTCTGTAGCCTAACAATGAACAAAAAGCCTTTATTTTATATAACAGATGTTTATTTTTTAACATAATCTCTTGTTTGTCAGTGGTGAATAGTAATCATATAGGTCAACTATCCCTTAAAATAGTAGATCTATATGATTGCTATGTGTTTACACTGAATGCATCAATCTAATAGAGAAACTGTATCAATCTACAGATTCTTACATGTCTGATGAGGACCACAATGCAGAAATATTAGAAACCTCAGCAGGGGTATGACAAATAGGAAATGAGAGCCCTAGTCTATTTAATGTTTTTCTAAACTATGCCCTGGACATTTACAAGCACAGATGGGATGAGATAGGCACTGACCATTTAAGCATTCTATACCATATCCTATATGAATCTACTGTCCTTCCCTCCCGAGGCCAAATTAGTGATGATGAGGATGTCTATGCTGATGACATAGGTATTCATAGTTTGGATAAGAATGATCTTGAACAGAAAATCAAAATCCTCTATTAAATGTTCCAAGAAACAGAACTCAAGATAAACCTTTCTAAAACAGAAACTATGATCTGGAATTGGAATGAAAGCAGCAATGACACCTACTCTAAGTACATCCTGAAAATACAGGATGTAGAATTAGTAAATACTAAACACTTCAGATACTGCAGCGTATAGATCAGTTATAACAAATTTAGTATAGGAGACAAAGAAATTGAATATAGAACTGACTGCACCAGACATACTTTTGCCCAACACAGCAAATTCTTACAAAACCAAAATATCAACTTGAAAACTCAAGTCATGTTCTCAAATAACCTCATTAGATCAAGACTTTCATATGGATATCATGCTTGGCACTGAACCCATCCAGAAATATCTAAACTGTCAGCTGTATACAACCATTTTCTAAGATCAAAGGCTTTGAGTAAATGAAGCCTGAGGGTCTTGGCAAAGATCATCCTTCTTTGAACATTGTGGACTGGTGGTACATAATCCCAAACAAAGAACTGAACCAAATAGCAGAAACCACATCACTTGAGGACTACCAACAGCAGCGACAACTAAAATGGATAGCACATGAAAATAGAAGAGAAAATAATGACATAATCAAGCTGTTGACATTCCACATTACTTCAATTAAAAGTTAGGGAAACCACTATCAATATTGGAAAGAACAATAACAGTTACTGGACTTGAGAAAACGATTAATTTTAAGAGAAAGATTTTATAAACTAAATACTAATTTTCAGGCTACAAACCTATTGAACTATGCTTGTGTGTGCGCATATATATATATATATATATGTATAATCAGCAATTATCTGTCTATATCTCTGAGATGAAGTATTATGATTATATACATTATTGACATTATTCAAACTGTTATCCTCATCTTCATGGCCATATTCACAACGTTTTGGCCATTGTACACTCTGGCCTTCTTCAGGTGATTGAAATTTTGAACTAAACCCCTTATTTCATCATCCAGGGTAGATCAAGAACACAAGGCCCAGTGGATAAAGGCATTGGTTAAATCCAGTAACTAGACCCAAAGATTTCAGAGTTCAATACCAAGCTACAAGCAAAAAACTTGGAGAATTGAGTTAAAGGGAAATAACTAAGACATTCAGAAGAGGCATGGCACATGGAACTAGAACAATCTAGACAAAATAAAGGGTTTGGTTCATTGTTCAACGTTGTGAATATGGCAATGAAAATGAAAATAACAGTTCAAATAATGTAAATAATGTGAATTACCAGCAATTAATATACAATAATATAAATAGATGTAAACATAAGTCCTATTCTATGTGTTTCTTCTTACACTTCTCAACTGTGGAAATCTTTTCTGGCTTTCTATTTTCCCATCAACTATGATCTTCAAAAATTTAAATGTAACACCAAACACTATCGTATGTTGTTTTGATTCCTGTTCTTTCATTTTCCTTTTTCCTCACTAATGTTTTCTCATTTTTTTCATTCTCAAATAACCTCTTGTGCCTTAGTGGCTTTATCACCTTACTTGGTATGAAATGATTAAAAAAATAGAAAAGCAATATATTGTCGAAAGTCCTGATGAGTGATTAAAAAAAAATTCAGAAAGTCTAAGTTGACCTTCCATAAGTATTGAATGCTATAATATCTAATTTAATATATATATATATATATATATATATATATATATATAGCGTATTGAGTGCTGGTGTCAATAAAATAGTGCTTGATGTGGAATAACAGAGCTATCATCTATATTTTAATAATAAATATACATTATTTTTCCTCATCGGTAGCACGACTGAGTTTCATGCACAACGCAATCTTTAGGTGCTGATTGCAATTTTTTGTTCAGCACCTGAAGTTTGAGTTTTGCATGAAATTCAGAGTTGTGCTACCAGTGAGGAAAAAAAAATGTATATTATTAATACATAAGATCTTGATGAACATGTGGAATCTTCCACATTAGCCTTCCACCCCTTTTGAAAAAGATGTATTCTTCCCTAAAAAAAAAAGCTTTAACCAATCACCACTTCGTTTCAGTAAATTCAATCCTCTATTAGTTAAGAAACACTAAACTGTAGCAAAGTCAAAACAGATCCTTTTACCCATCGAAGCTCCCTGGAGTCGATTTTTAAACACCAAAATCTATATAAACAACCACATGACTCAATTCAAGTCAGGCAATCATCGAGTTTCGTGAGATGCTACCAAACTCCATGTGTGTCAATTCACTGACTGAACATCACTTCAAAATTCTCAACAAACTCAACATGGCACTTAACCATTGTCCGCGTGTTAATCAAATTACAATTGACTTAAAAAGTGACTGTTTTCACTACACAAACAGTAATTGTACAATTCATCAATTTAGCCAAGCAGTTAAAGGCAAACAACTCTCCATAAGTTAAATTCTAACTAACAAGTAACACATGCATACACACTATTATTTGAATGAACACATTTGAGATTTTTCCTTGCAGAAACCAAATTATTTTAATTTCACTAACAAATCAAAACCATTAACTTTTATTGACCAAATTTCAGCATGAACATTCTTCATAACCTTGTCTCAATTGCCACAATCAACAAACATTCTGTTATCCTTCTATGTATATCTATTGCATATATAAAAATCTCTTTATTGTTGGATCTCTAACCACTGTGCTTTTGGTAATTTCTTGCAATGCAAATTGTCTCTATATTCTTTATTTGATCTACGTGTTGTGCGATAATGCATAATAAGCACGCATAATCTTTGCCTTACATAAATTACCTTCTAATACATTTTCACTCAGCTACAACCTGCAACAAAAAACCTAATTCTTGATATGTTAGTTCTGTAGCTTTTCAGTCAAGTCAAATAATCATGTCTTATGAGGTTAGGAAGGAAACCACTATGAGACCATTTTAAACATAGCAAAGCCATGTTTAAAATGGTGCCATCAAATGTGAGAAAATTTTACACGATTCTAATTTTGAATTTTCAAATTTTAGTCTTCTGCTACATTCCTGGAGATTTATTGATGTTTGTTCAAGAACATCAAAAACACTTTGTGAACAAGGAGAGTCATCAGGTGAAGGAAGGAACTGTACTGACCATTATTTGTCCACCTTATTCATACACTAAATATCCAGTGGTTACAACTTGCCGGGAAAATATGTGGCATCCAGCGTTACCAAATTGCTCTTTCGACTTAGGTAAGACAATTAATGATAACTTTAAGTCGTTCATAAATTACTATATTGATCCATCTTTAACCAAAATTCTTAAATATTGAATTTAGCAAATATGGTTGGTTTTACTTTTTTTTCCAACCTATAGCTAAGCAAAATAGTAGGTTTTAGCCAATAACAAGTTAACTTTAGATACGGTTCTTTATGTATCATTTTAATAAATACTTTGTATAATATAAAATACTAAAAAATAATGTAGGACTGTTAGAATTAATATTTAATATTTACAATTGGAAAATTAATTTATTAGCAGTGTTGGTGACTTTCGATGAACATATACTTAAGAGAAAAATTTTTGTTTATTTACTATTTGTAAACTCTTTAACAGTTGAAGGTTTTGTTCTAATCAAAGCAGACTAGATCTGAGGTCATGGGACAATAAAATAGTAGATGCCTTAGTACCAGTCTATGTACCAATTAGGATTGATGTCTCATGTTTGTTGTAAGATAGTTTCAGATGTAGGCTATGGCAGATTTTTGTTAACCAGATATGTTGATATTTGGTGTGAAAAGATTATTATGATATAAGTACAAATATAAGAAACTATATTTTTGGTCATTTATTAATTAGGATATATCACATCTGTCCTGTCTACTTTATGGATCAACAGACTTGACTAGTCTTGCTAATGATTACAAAGAAACAACCCTTGTTATCACTAAAGCACATGAATTTCTGTGGATCCTTGCACAACAAATATCTTTACTGGTTATTTTTATGTACAAACCATAAAGAATATTTCCTTTATATGATGATCTTCAACATTGAAACTCTAAGATTCAGACTTCAAATACTTGGAGAAAGTGTTTCAGAATCTCATGAATATTCTACAGCAAAAGAACCAATTGTGGTTTTTTTCTTTGCTAAGGTTGCTAGTTTTACAGTGGAACAATACAATCTTGTCCCAATCCTCCTACGTCATCCAGTGTTCAATCAAGATAGGAATTTATGAGGCTGTGTGTACATTTATAATGTTAAATTGTTGAGTGGCTCAGGTATGTATTTACAACTCAGCACAAATTTTGAACTGATTGCCTTCAGTTAATATAAACTTGTGCTTTAATAAGTTAACCTCTTCCACCTGTAGTTGAAACATATATATATAAACACATGGTTTCTCCACTGTTAGATTATATCAGTACAAACTCGAGAAAAACAACTCCTTTGGTACTGGCGGTCATAAGCATCTCTGCAAGTCATGAAAGCAGATTCCTCTTTAATACAATAGATGCTTTAGTCCCAAAAATTCAATTTAAAGCTGATTCCACAGTCTGAAATTTTAAGTCATGTCATACAGTTAAAGCCAACTGACTATCACTTTGGGTAATACCAGCATTATCAAGGAGTTTGAATGCTACTACAGCATCAGGAAGTACCATCTCGTACTTTTTACACTTGTATTTTTGCTTGCATAAAATCACATAGCCAGCTATTTTCATGTTTCTCTCTCTTTGGAACTTCTCAACATCCATATATGCAGCATAGGACTGATCTAGTTTGTAGAGTTCTTCCAATAAATAATCAACACGATTGTCATTATTCGAATCTTCAGGGTCCATTTCCATGACCACATCTCAAGGTTTTCTGCCAAGTGAGAGCACTAATACCAATGTCCTATTCTTCTTTTTGTCTAGGTCGGTCAATAACTTGTCACATGTTGACTTCTTTTTCACAACAGTTGTAGGATTTTTCATCAAAGTTGGTGAATTTTTATAATTTACTGATGACATTTTTTTTGCTGCTCCTGAACTATGCTACTGATGTTAATCTAATCAAATATAATTTCACCAGAAATAGAAAAATTACTACTAAAAACTACACAAATCCTTTAGGTAACATATTGACTATTGCAACTGTAACCAGTAGTATGGTAAAGCTCATTACTAGAGATGAAAATTTTAAACACTTATTCAGAAAGAAAATTTTTTTCCATTTAATGCTTGTAAAATCAATCTGTAGTTATAATGAAAACAAACATGTCCAGTGATGCCAATTTAGATTCTGATATATATATATATATATATATATATATATATATATATATATATATTTTGCTCATTTTGTATTTTTAGCATCCATGACAACTCCAGCTCCAGTCCAAGCAAAAAATCGTGGACATCACTGTCAACAGCCATTAAGAGGAGACAATGTAATATTCCATTGGGACATTGACATTGAGGAGGACAATGCCAATATTATACCTGACGGCATTGGTCTCCATGCACACTGTATAGATGTTGGAACATTTCGTTTGATGGGTTCAATCCGTCTCCTCTGCAAAAACGGAATTTGGTTGGGAAAGCTACCAGTTTGCCAAAAGACAGAAGAAGATGGTGACTATACATTGTTATTATTTGTTGAAGGCAAAGTGTACGATTATCACAAACATACAAAGAGAAGGAATAGTAATTAGATGTGAATAAAGAAAGATGAAATTTGATTATAGGAGCTAAAAGTAGGGAAAAGGTGAATTTTATATTATTCTATATTCTCTTCCTCTGTACAACCTAAAACACTCAAAGGTTTGTTTTTTTATACTAATTTTCTATGAGCTTAGGGATTATCAAGCTGTATCCATATCTCAATGAATTGCTTATAAATGATACCTTCATCTCTCCTAAGCCATGACTCATTAAAATATTCCAATTGTAATAATAAAAAAAAAATTGATAAAAGTCTTTATTTCCAGACCATTATGCTAATTGGTTTTTATCAGAAAAGTTATTCTCCAAGCAATAAGGTGGACCCACCCACACATGTATGAATGTAAGAATGAAATATGGGACTAGGAAAGACAGTAAAAGCTGTATTTAGCAGTCAATTGAGAAAATACAGTAATCTGCAGCTGGACTTACTCTAAGAGTGAATGAACTTGACTAAGTAATAGACACATTACAACAAGAAAAGAGAATGACTGAAGTACAAATACTTTTTATGACTAATGATTCATGCTTACTAAACTTCTCAGCCTGTAAAGGTCCTTTGGTTGGATGTAAGCCTTCCCTCAGATTCCTGGGGAGGAATGAGTTATTACCCTACTGAACTGGCCCAATGTGTGTTGGTAGAAATAGATGTGACATGCTTGAGTGGTCATGTCTTATTTTGATTCAGGATCACCCAAGCGTATTTGCACATAAGTGAACGTAACTAACTCGACTGGAATTTGAATTTGGCTCTCTGATTTTGCATCCCAAGCCATTATCTATTTTACAACACCTGATATTCCCAAATGCTCACCCATTTAGGTGCTGACAAGGCTCAATATTGCTTAACTTCAGTGAACAGATGAGAACTGGTATAGATGATATGGCCATAAGCCCTTAGGCAACTATAAATGTATATTCTTTAAGCAAAACTAATCAAAATATGAATAAACTGCATCCAGCAGTAAGGCCTCTTATTGGGAGATTGGAGGTTGTGAGGAATATAGAACCACTTATTAATTTCTGTTCTTCCCATGGTGGCAGCACCTGTTAAGGTCCCAGCTATGGGCAAATAGTAAAACCCCTCCCCACCAAACAAAAACAAAACATTATCAAAGTATAAAAATATCTTTTTATATTAAAAATACCAACAATACTTATTTATAATAAAATTATCAACAATACTTATTCAGTTGCGGTTGATTTGCCACCACACAAAATCAACCAAGCTGACAACCAACATGAAATAACTTTTCCATAACATTAATCTATATAATATCCCACAATTTATTAAGGAAATCAAACTGTATTCCAAAATATAACTTCAACAAAACAATATAAAACACACATATCACTGCCTCTAGTAATCATGTCCACACAAACACACACACATATATATATGCACAAAAGATGAGTATCATCTACCATGTATTCAATTGTGAAAGCAGAATAACATATATCATATGTTTATTAATTCAAAATCCCCCAAGAAAATTAAATTTTGGCATTAAATGACCCATAACGAGTTGATATGCTGTTAAACAAACCAAATCAAAATATAAAAAAAATAACAATAAATGAATATAATTCTATAATGAAATCAGAGCCTCTAGTTTTATATTTCAGGTTCTGATGCTGGGTAAGTGATACTCATAATCATATAGAAACAAGGTAAATATGATCACTGTATCTATCAAAAGTTCAAAACATAACAGATTTAAAGGAAAAGGGTTTATTAACATTTCTTTAATATCCTGCAGAGTTTAATCCATAGCTGAGAAAAAAAAATGAATTATACATTCCACCATATAAGGAATCCCAGGAAGAGATGAAGTCTTCTAAAAATGTTTCATGATCAATGACCCAATAATCTAGGTTATGTAGCTGCACTCTTCACAAAGACAAACTATTTTCATGAATGACTCTACAGAAATCTTTATTGAAGTTACTTTTTGCTTTTTTTCCATTAAACCTTCAATAATTTTTATATGATTGTAGTACCTTAATAAACCTTGTAGCAGCAGCAGCTCTGGAGTTATAAAAACAATGAAAATCCTTAAAGTAATTTTCTTCTGGTTGTTCTCCTTTCAAACTATATGACAAACTTTTCACACATTGCAAAAAAGGTTGTGGATGCTTCACCCACAAACTTACTTACACAGGCAAGTCACACTCAAATACATTCATTAACATTGTGTATGCAATTTATTTCTAAGAAAAGAAATTCTTGTTTTAAACTTTCCTTTTGTTGATTTTGTTTAGTAAATGTTATCTTATATTGCAAATCAATTAGTCTGTTATTTTGTGCATGTACACTTTTTCACCATCATTTTTTCATGTATTATAAAATATTCTCATGAGAAACCTTACACATTAATTATCAAAGTAACCAACACATTAAAACAAAGGTCAGCAACCTTTTGGAAAGAGCTAGCCAGAAAGGTATGCAGTGTTATGGTGGGAGGCCATGATATCAAATGTACTATAATAAATTATCTTGATCTCAGACTGCTTTGTCCGAAAGGCTGCCTTGGTCTTGAGATTTAAAGAAAAAACAACAAAGTTAATGTTATATTATTTAAACAATATTCCTTATTTTACTGCAGGAATAACAGGATATCAACTAACACAATCAACAAAATTATTGTTTCTGTTTATTCTTCAATAACTTCTCCACATCAGGTGAAATATTTGTCAATGATAGGAACAAAAATATCATCCAGGTGACCATCACCCAACTTTGTTCTTAACCAACTTTTAGCATATTTAATTTTTGAAAAATATATACTTCCAATTAATATCATCATTTTCACATTATTCAATAGGCTTTTATATTTTCTGCTTGACAAAACATTTCTTGAAGAAGTCAGCAGTGGATTCAGAATTAATTTTTAGTTTAAAAAAATTTGTCACATTGTAAGTCATTTAACTCTAACTGATATTTTTCTGCACTTGCTCTGTGAATTAGATAATTGTTAGCAGACTGGACAAAAATCCTGCATGGCTCAGGGGTTGCCGACCCCTGCACTAAATGATGATTAAAACATATGCTAAGAAACAATTCTTGTGTTTTTTTTTTTTAGCATTTTTACCTCTCAATGAAAATCAACATAATTATTTTGTTTCTATCTCAACAGCAATGGCTCCCCCAACAATCTCGATCTATACAGATGTGACATGGAATGGACAACAGATTGATTATTCCATTGCAATAAATGGGAGTGTCAAAGTGGCATCAGGTAGACAACTTGAGCTCAGTTGTCGTCACAGTTTGTATGAAGTAAATAACCTGGAATGGTACACGACCAGTCATACGTACCCTAATTTCAGGAACAGTCTTCGGGAAGATAGATTAAAAAACACAACAGCCGCTCATCTAAGTTTTCCAGAAGTGGCCAGACAGTATTCAGGACGTTATATTTGCAGAATTAAAAACACAACAATCTTCCATTTTGTAGACATAATCATTTCCTGATTAACCTCTTTTCAAATAAATGAAGTGATCTGAAAATGATTTTATATATATATATATATGTGTGTGTGTGTGTGTGAAAGAGAGAGAGCAAAATAACGATATATATTTTTATATATCAAGAACAATATTGGGGAAAAATTTATGACAAAGTGGAAGAAAATTTTCTTGTGACACATTTTGTCCTTTAGGACTTCATAGAACTAAATTTATTATGTTGGTATGACTACACATGCACACAAATGTTGGATTCCTGGAAAGATCTAAATGAAATCCAGCTACAAAAAAAAAAAATTAAAATTAAAATCATCCCTCATTCGTGCACATGTGTAGTTGCACCAACAAATTTAGTCTGATGAAGGACAAAACACATCACAAGAAAACCTTTTCTACTATGTCATACATTTTTCCCTGTATAATTTTTTTTTATCCTGTGATCTGAAGGGTCATAGGGGCACCATGTTTACTGCAGCCGCAGTAGAAGTGGTGTTTTTTGGGCAAGGTAGCCTGACAGAGCCCAATCCAGTTTCGAATTCAAAGTTTTTCCTTCTCCTAGACCGGTTGCCAGCCAAGGTTATAAAACTCAATCTGTCCTGCTATTTTACTCATTGCTGGGGGGAGAAGAAGAGGATTCATACCTTTCCCAAGAGTATAGTACATAAGTGAATTTAATGGATCTGACTGAAATCTGAACTTTGCTCTCTGATTTCTCACTCCAAGCCACTATTCATTACTCTACTGTGCTTTCCCCTACACACACACACACACACACACACATATATTTCCATATGACAAGGAATCAAAGGTTTGTCTAACACAAGGTTGCAAATGTAAGGAATGAATTTAATGTAACAGCTTATGAAATAAAGAGGTTATTACTTGAAAAATAAATCATTCCACTTTCTATGTGCCATGTCCTTTCAAGATGTAGGTGATCATGGCTCTCCACAAGTTCCTTCCCTCTGCCACCTCCCCCAGACCATGTTTTGTCATCCACTTCCTTAAGGCCCCTAAGTATGTCATGTGTTGTTTTCCCTTATCTCTCTTTCCCTCTATTCGACCTGTGAGTATCAGATTCTCCAAGCTCTCCTTCCTCATTATGTGTCCCAGAAACTTCAGCTGCCTCTTTCTGATGTTAAATATAAGCCTCCTCCTTGTTTGCATCCTCTCTAAGACCTCATTGTTGCTCACATGCTCAGTCCATGATATCCTTAGCATCTTTCTGTAGAACCACATCTTTGTTGCCTTGAGTCTTTTCTTCATCTTTGAGAAAATCATCCAACATTTGCTGCCGTAAAGAAGGACAGATGTCATGTAACAGCTAAGTATTCTTTACTTTGTTACCAAAGAAATCCTCCTGTCTTGCAATACTCTGCCCAGTTTTTGGAATGCGTCCTTGGCCATTCCAATACATCTACAGATGTCAGTGTCACACTTACCGTCCTCTATCAAAATGCTTCCCAGATATTTAAACTTCTGTGTCTGCTTGATTCTAGCGTTTAACCTGCAAATTGCATTTCAGGCTCATCCTCTTACTGATGACCTTGTAGTTTATGCTTAGTCTTTTCTTCACACTCTCCATTGCTACCTTCCATAGGAGATTTTGTAATTTCTTTTTTGTGTCTGCTATCAGCACTGTCATTTGCATATCTTATGTTGTTAAGATTGTGGCTGCCAATGCTAAATCCCAGTAGATTGAATTGCCTCACTGTATAGGTTGAACAGGTCGAGTAAGAAGATACACCCTTGCCTTATGTCCCTTTCTATTTTTGTATATTCGCTGAACTCGTTCTCTATGCGCATACATGCTGTTTGCTGCCAGTATAGGTTCTTGATTATTCTGATATCTTTCCCGAATATATCAAGGTTGCTGAGTAGTTCCAGCAGATCCTTGTAATGTACTTTGTTTGCATTCGTTTGCACCTGGTTTCTTAGGTATAGCTATGAAGATAGATCTGCTGAGGTCTTCCGGTATATTCCCGCTGTTGTAGATTTCATTTGTTATTTTAGTGATCTTGTCTATGCCAAAGTCATCTAAGGCTGTCAGCATTTCCATTACAATTCTGTCTGGCCCAGCTGCCTTGTTGCTGTTCAATTTGGCCAGTGCTGTTTTTACTTTGGTTTTCAGAATTCCAGGTCCGTTGATAGTTCTGTGTATTGCTGGTTGTTCTCTTTTGTCGTGGAAGAGTTCTCCAATACACTCACTCCAGTAGTGAAGAATTTTTCCTTCTCTAATATGACCATTTCATCCTTTGATTTTAAGCAGCCTGTTGATGAGCAAGTCTTCTGTCCTGTTAGTTTCTTTATTTGTTTGTGCATCTCTCTTTTGTTGGTAGTATTCAATCTTTCTGTTTCTGCACATATTTTCATTTAGTCACTCTTCTTTAGCTTGCTTGCATTTAGTCCTTATTTCATTATGTAATTTTCTGTACTCCATTCTGAATCTTGGCAGAGTTTTCTGTCTTCTTTCCATCATGTCAAAGATCTCATCAGTCATCCATTCGCATTTTCTTCTTCATCTTGTCTCTTTAGTGCATCCCATTTCAAGTTTCCACTATGTACCTCGTATCTTCTTTTCACATTGTCCATATATTTTGGGTGCTGCGTTAGGCTTCTTCAATTTCTGCAGTTTCACTCTTAGTTTACATATAAGAGGGCGATGGTCATTTCCGCAGGTCATGCAGTGAATCATTGCATTCCTGAATCTTTTGTTGATGGTTATATAATCATTCTGATTTTTAGTTTCTCCTCCTGGGCTCCTCCATGTCCATAGTTCCAAGAACATCCGAGATGACTATGTGTTGGCTATTACCTGGTCATCGGCTGTGCACCACTGGATCCGTTTTTCTTCGCATTCATTGTGGGTTCCTAGTCTGAATCTTCCTGCTATATCTCCTGCCCTTTCCCTTTCCATGTTGGCATTTAGGTCTCCCATGATAATGTCTTCCTATGATTTGCATAGAGCCTTGGCACTGTCCAGCATGGAGTAGAAAGATTCAATGTCCTCTTCCCTGCTTTGTGTCGTCAATGCATATGCTACTATAATAACCATGCTGAAAAGCTTCCCCTTCAGATTCACTACCAGAATTCTTTCAGAAAGTTGGTGTTAGCACACTTAAAAAATGCATTCTAGGCTATCTAGTATTACTCCTGCTCCTTTGTCATTCTTCTTACTGCCTGCATAAATTATCCTGTGTTTATCACAGGTAAAATCACCGTTTGGCCCTCTGGTTTCACATACACTTAGAATGTTAACTCTGATAATATTAAACAAGAGATGAACAAACTGGCCACAGTTATTCCATGTCCTGAGAGTTATTTTGTGTTTGATGCAAGCAGTTGCAGGATAACAGCCCAGTGACACCTGTCATTCATGTCACTCCTTTCTGGGTGAGGCATAGGTTCCAAGGACTTTTATCCCTTTTAGGCTAGCAGGCGCTGGATGACAGGTGACACCTGTTGTGCATGTTGATCCTTATCAGGCAAGGAATTAATTCCCATAGACTTAAACCCCTTCACGCCGTTAGGTTTAGCATCATCTAAATTGTTAACCATGATTTGTCTTGAGATTGATAGTGGAGTGGTTTCCCGTTGCCTTCTCAACAGTGGTTTATGGAGACACCACCTCTAGTTAGCAAGCTGTTGACTCAGAGAGTTCTTCTGCCCTTTGTTAGGTCTTGTTTTTTGTCCTACTAGCTTGCTAACGAACCGTCTCACTCGGAAATCAGAGTCGGGTAGTCAGGTTAATCACCAACATTTCGACTTGAATACTTACTGAAAAGTTGAAAAAAGGACAAAAAACAAACAAACTTTTTTTTTATAATTAGGTTTTAAGTTTTAACTTGGTATTTTAGTACTGGACAATGGACTAACAAAAGGGGGGAAGACATTAAATTTGCTTCAATTCAAAAAAAACAATTTGAAAAACTAAAAAAAATAGTAGCAGCAATCAAATAAACACAAAAGGGAAGAGAAAGAGGAAGAAGAGTTTCCCTACATTTAAACCTAATACCGATGATTACTAGTCTGATCGTTTACATCAAAAGGAATCACTCCACCATTGTGCCCAGGCATTTGTTCACTGGCCATCTTATATTCAACAAAGTTCACAATAAAAAACATAAAATAGTAAGATGAGGTGGATTAAATTCAATACCATTAGAAAGAAAGAACAGTTATGAAAACTAAAACAATTAGTAATAGCAAGAGAACAAATTAATACTTAAGTAAATTAATAATTTGGAAACAAAAAAAAATGTAAAAAAAGCCAAAAAAGTATACAAGAATTAAATTTAAATACATACCTGCTATTTAGAGACAGGGTCAAGAACTGAAAAAGCATGTGGTTCTTCATTGAGACTTAGCAAAGAGTGATTTTTACTACTCCCCCAGATTTAAACCCAAGGGGGAAGTGCTAGTCTAACCATTTACATTGAAAGAAATCACTCCATGAGACTGTATCCAGGCATTCATTCACTGGCCACCTTATATTCAACAAAGTTCACAATCACACACACACTTTTTCAATTAAGGGAACACAACTCTCAATAGCTCATCTCTTTATAGAATAAAGAGATGAGCTATTGAAAATGTCTGTGTGTCACACTTTTTCAATTAATGGGACACAATTCTCTAACTTTTAAATATCTCATCTTCTTCAAATGAGACTTGTTCATCCAGTATTGGAATTGAATCCTCAGATTGCAAATTTAACTCTCAGTGAAATAGAAGACAAATTGATGAACTTGGCTTAAAGAGATCTCAGCAATTTTGGTCTGCCAAATCCAAAGAGAGAAAGTAGACAAATCAACAGAGAAATTTTGAGAGAAACAGGATACAACATGGAAGAACTGCAGCAATGTGTTCAAAACAATGAGTCCCTGTTAAACCAAGACCAACAGTAAGTGTATCAGAAGGTTCTTGATGACATCAGTGACAATAATGGAGGGATTTCCTTCTTGGATGCACCTGGAGGTACTGGTAAAATTTTTGTAACTAACCTTTTTTTTATCTGCAATAAGACTCCAAAGAAAAGTAGTTCTAGCAGTAGCATCATCTGGAATTGCTGCTACTCTATTGCTTGGAAGGCGTACAGCACACAGCACCTTCAAACTTCCATTGGATTTGAACTACTAATAAAGAGGAACCAACTTGGCTAAGCTACTGGAGGAGAAAGCTTCATTGTCTGGGATGAATGTACCATAGTACAGAAGTGAGCATTTGAGTCCCTGGACAAAACACTCAAAGAGACAGAATTCACAAATCATGTGAGGTAGCACTTTGCAACTCTCTAGTGATTTTAGACAAACATTACCAGTCATTGCAAGAAGGACTGAAAATTTCTAACATCAAGAGCCATGTTCAAAGACTCATCCTGAAAACAAACATGAGAGTTAGAATCACAGGTGAACCTTGAAGCAGGAACATTTGCTGCTTTGCTGTTGCAGCTTGGCAATGGAACCACCAAAATGGAAATATTTTGCTCCCAAATGATTGCGGAGTGTCAGTCTCAAGTATCCAAGACTTTATTAACCCTATTTATCCAAACATTAAACACCATTTCATGGATTCAAACTGACTTTGTGGGTGGGTCATATTAGCTCCCAAGAATCAAACTGTGGATAGTATCAACTGGAAACTTCTCCAGGAAATTCCAAATGAAAGCATGAAGTACTTTTCCATTGACACTGGTTGAACAAGAGCAGGCAGTGAATTATCCAAGAGAGTTCCTGAACTCACTGAATCCTCCTGGAATGCTATCACACAAGCTGGAACTAAAAGAAAACGTGTCAATTATGCTATTGAGAAATCTGGATCCTCCAAAGCTTTGTAATGGAACAAGGTTAATTGTCAAGAAGCTGCTTCCTCATGTCTTGGAAGCAGTGATCCTTACTGGTCCAGGAAAGGAGGAAATAGTTTTAATTTCAAGAATCCCATTAATTCCTTCAGATCTTGCTTTTGAGTTCAAAAGATTTCAGTTTCCAGTGAGAGTGAGCTATTCAATGTCAATCAATAAGTCCCAAGGACAATCATTGAAAATAACTGGACTTCATCTGATGGAAACCTGCTTTTCTCACATACATTTTTATGTTAGTTGCTCAAGGGTTTGTACCGACCCTGAATGAGAATGAAACTAGCTTAAATGTCGCTCAATAGTTGTGTCTGTATCAATATCTTGACTGTATTTTGGAAATTAAAACATTACATAAATACATACATACAACAATCTATTTCTTGATAACAGTTAATATATTTCAACCTTGAAAATGACTAAATGTATAGCTGAAAGCGCCCGGATAAAAACAATTGGACAGTTTTTATATAATTTATCATCTGAAAAGAAAAAATAATTAGATCACATGAGAAATTGCATAACCTTGTCTATCGTATTCAACGAAACGTGCATGAAAGAAGAATTGCTGCCTAAATACACAAATATATATAGTTTATAAAAAACTAGGTAATCCATATGGGTAAACCTAAGGAGGATAAAATCCAGAGAGCTCAATGTAAATCCAGAGCAAATAATTTAAATAAAAACAGACCACTTTAAGGTTCCATGTAATAAATTCTTTCACCACAGCCCTTTTAAAAGGACTGCGAATGATCAGTGGGTACATGTATATGTGTGGATGTGTATGTATACAATTTTTTATAATTTCTATATATGTATGTGTGAGTGTGGGTGTGTATATATAGATGGGTACATGTATGTCATTCCATAGATTATGTATGTATGTATAAATATAAGAATTTGTGAGTTCATATATATATAATATGGGAAAATATAGATATAATAATGTAATTAAGTATGGATTTTGATATGTTTTTTGCATGAACACACATGTGGGTGTATATGTATGTATGTGTATATATATATATGTGTGTGTGTATATATATGGATGTGTGTGTGTGTATGTGAATATATGTATATATATGGATGGATGTGTGTGTGTGTATGTGTATATTTATGGATACATAGAATATTATAAAAGAAGGACTTACAGTCCTGTTATTAGTGTTTTATCTCATTTTCTCATTTAATATTCTCCAATTGGAAGTGTGAGTTTAAAATTCTTTATAATATGGAGGAAAATTTTTTAAATTGATAATTTAATTGAAATATATTACCCTTTAATAATCATTATTGATGATAAAATATTTAAATTGGAAAAATTTTTGATATTTATGTAGGTGTTAATACATGAAGTTACCTGTGTATATCGGTACATGGGTACCTGTATGAGTGATTGCACATGTAAAGGAACGTGTGTATATGTGAAATTTGCATGGGTGTGTATACAGTATATGACAGAGCAAGATCTTTAATATTACCTTCAAATATTACCCCATATTAACTTAACTAAAATTTAAGTAAAAGAGATTACCTATCTAGAAACAGTCATGAGTTAAATTCATGAACAAAATTCAAACAGATAGAGATGTCAACTTAATAATCAATAATAAAAATTTTTAAAGAGATTAAAAAAAAGATTACTAGAAGTAAACTTATATTTTAAAATAAAATTTTATTCTTTTTCATAGAAAATACCAAAAATTTTTTAAAAAATTTAAATTACTAACAAACATCAAATTAAATTATTTGTAGACAGTTTAGAGACATTCAAATTTATATCAAACATTATAATCTTTATGAACCCCCAAAATAACACTTTCAAAGTAACAGCGTCTGTTTCTAGTCTTTTTTTCTTTTTTTTACAAAGAAAATTAGTGACACCTTCTCTCATGACTTCTTTCTTTTTCTCTCTATGGGTTTTTCTCCTCTACCCCTTCGATATCAATATATAACTTCCGTTAAGTTAACCGTTTAAATGTGTCAATGTCTGCTAACTCACTCATGTCTTCTTTCTCCCCCCTCACTTCATTAATTTACATATGTTTAATACGGCTTGTCAAAAATGTGTAAATTTTCTTTTCATTTTTTGTTTGGAAATAAAGTCTGATGATCCACAGTCCTTTAAAAGGGCTGTGGTGAAATAATTTATTACATGGAACCTTAAAGTGGTCTGTTTTTATTTAAATTTATATATATATATATATATATATATATATATATATATATTTTACTGTAAAAAATATATTTGCTTTGTTATAATAAATACATTGAGCTCTCTGTGGATCAGTTTTAATATTTGATATTACTAGAATTCACCTGGATTATATACCAATGGATCTATATTACCTGTACTTATATATAAGAATACATAGTTTAGTTCATTTGAATCTATTATTTATAACAAAAGAGTATGGATTTCAAATGTACAAATGCCCACCTTTGATCATTTAGAGCACTTAAGCTGAAGTATCATATCTTAGGCCTGGCAAGCAAGATAGAATGAAAAGGGAAGAAATAAACATTTTTTTATGCTGTGTGATATCTAAAGAAGAGACATTTGATCATAATATTGGATCCAAAGATTAAATATAATTTTTTTCCAAGTAATAGTGAAAGCAATAAAGATTTTTTAGCTTTTGAACTGTAGACCTCTTTTTTTATTTAGATTATTTTTATATTTTAAGTTTTAGAGATTTTGTGCTTAAAAAAAAAACAGTTTTACACTTTAAAGTTATTTTCTTTACCATGTTGAATTCCACCAAAATAATTCTTTAGTCATTTCCTCAGATAATGACATAAAAGATTCACTTCAGTAGAAAAAGTAAAACTGAAATAACAACCAAAAATAATATTTAAAAAATGCATTCCAATTAATAAACAAATTTTTATTCCATCTCATTAAAAATATTTGTGCAAATACAAATTAAAACTCAACCCTATAATCAAAATTATGATAGAAATGAAAAGAAAAAAAAACATTTCTTAAACTGCATCAAAAACATTTTTGCCCCTTTGTGATAATGATGTTATAAGAAAAAGTTACTTTGTAAATAAACAAAATATTTCAAATGACTTCTCATTGTCTTTTCTCTGCCAAGACAGAAATAACATATTTGCTATTATTTTTTGGTGATCGTATTAACTAATGATAAACAACTTTGTGCACACATTCCTCTGATATTTTTTTTTTTGCTTTTTGTTTTTATACTTTTCTCTCCACCCAGGAAATTTGTTTTTTTTTTTTTATTGGCTTCCCCTAGAAATATCTAAAATCTCAAACATTTTGGTTTTGGATTTGACCATTCTAAAGTGCTAAGGCAAGTGGTTTCAGATGACCCAGACATAAAGTAACCTTGGCGGCAGGAAAAGATTATTGAACTCCCAACAGTCATTGACTCTTGCCATGACTTTTTGTATCCGTTTTCAGGGTAACCAGGATCGTGACAGCTTCCGAGTATCTCTGGAAAACCAAACAAATTAAATATAAAATTGACATCAATAAATTTTCACTCACTCTCTAAAAAGCATTTTCATTAAATATCAAAAAGAGAATAAAATTATTTTAAATTTTTACTAACACAAAATTTTAAAATAGAAAATAAGTGCAATTTTAAAATAGAAAATAAGTGCAAAAAATTGTGTTCCTCCCAATGAAGAACTGCGTGCATTTTTATTTTATCAAATCTGACTGTTTCTTGCTGTATAGATTTGCTTCTGTTAACCATTAAGCAGTGGAAAAAGGTTGCACATGAAACAGGTAAAAAAAAAAAAAATTAAAAAGGGAGTTTTAATGTTTATTTTCTTTTAATTCTATAAGACAAAACTACAAAATGGTACAGCGTAACCCGGATATAAGAGAGTTCTCAGGACCGGAGAAGAAGTCTTTTATATCCGGGTTTGGTCTATTTTATATACATTAACACAGGCTCTAATTTGGGACCAGAGAAAATCTCTCTTATATCCAGGTTACACTGTATTTAAAACCCTTCATTTATAAAAATGAAGAAAAAAGGGAAATAAATCAAATTTTAAGTTTCTAAATTTAAATATCATATTCTTCTGTAATATCTGCAGTATAATTATCAACTGACACTCTGTAACAAAGTAATGACCCTGAAATCGGATCTTCATAAGTAGAAATATAAAAATGGCACTTTGAGTGTTAAAATTTAAATAAACAAAAAATTAAAACACGGTTTGGTAAATTCAAACACTGGTTTCGGGAGGACACAAATCCTGGACCAGAAATTGGAAGAAGGAAATGAGAAGTTATATTGATGGCTGATAAAGTAAGATTCATGCATTTTCAAGGGCAGATAGTGATTCGAAGTTTCGACCAGAATGAGCTTGGTGTGCTGATGAGTGACTCTTGGATATATTTTTTATGAACTCCACCTGGATGGTCACAGCTCTGTTTGAAAAGGTTTAGTACAAGGCTTGAAAACTGGTAAGAGCAAAATTAATTTGAAGCTGAGAACTAGAGATGTCCCTTTTCTGTGACAATTGTCTGCCATTTCTATAATTATCATTATTTTGGACTTCTGGTGAGGAATCCTTCCCCAGTAAGAAAGCCAGCTTGTTAATTTATGGGAATATGGAGATTGTAAAATATAGGCATTATGAATTGTCATTTTCTGAGGCCTGGCTAGGTAAAGTGAAGTCATTAATCATTATTATTGAGAAACATGCACACATTTCGCTTGGAAGTTATTTTCTGTGTGGTGAGAAAATAGACCAGGTTCAATGACTCACCTACATTTCACCAAGCACACAGAATACAGAGAAAAACCCATAGATGTCATTTCATAGAAGTTAAATTCTGTAGACATTTTTTTTCGTTTCACATTAAATTCCGTTAAGTTTACAGAATGCATTTGGTTCATTTATCAAAGAACTTTTCTCCCCCTTAAGTCACCAACAACAATTCAACTGTAACCAGAGGCAAATGGTTACCACACTATGCAGGAGATCAATTTCATTGGGGTTTTTTTTATGCAGGGACACCATGACAGAATTTGAGTCCAATTACTGATGATCACCTTCAAACAGACAGGAGGAGCTGGGAAAGGCTTAATCTCTGTTCAAGTGAAGTGTCTGAGAAATTTCTGGCCTTGTTGGCACTTGTTCCTAGGCATGACGTAGTCAGATGATACTGAGGAATTACCAAATCCATCCAGTTATATCTGGTGCAGCTAACCAACCAGTTGTAATTGAGTGCTGTGACAAAGAGCTGACCATGATCCCAGCCAACCCATTATAACACAAGTGAAGATAAAGAAATGCTAGAAAGATATTTCCTCTTCATTGCTGACATTGTATCGTCCCTTGACAAGGATTGTTATTGCTCAAAGTATTTGAAGAAGTTAATGCTCTGGCATCCGTACATATGCGTGTGTCAGTGTATGCACAAATAATAAACTCATGACTCTTAAAATTGCCAAATAGTCATTTAGGGTTAAATTATGAATGATGGCCATACTGTTGGTAAAAGTATGAAACATCAATTGATCCTGCTAAGGATGAAATTATATCATTGTGAAGTAATTCTAGCATATTTCTACTGAGATTAAAAACATGAAGTATAAATTCTATAAAATATATTTTTAATTTTCTATTATTTTATATTCTGGTTCATTGTTTTTTTCTTTCATTAACTCTTATCATCCTATACAGCTGCGTTCTGCACAACATTGCTTCAACCAGCTAGTCCTGAAACATAGGATATTGCATAAATCAAATAAACCATGTTTACATTTCTTTTAAAATTATGACCTCTGACCTCTCTAATGTAAGGGAGAAAACTGACCTCCTCTTCTATTCTATGATATGCATCCAACATTATTATTAAATTTTCAATAGGATATTAAGAGTTAATTTTGAAATTAAGTCACAAAAGGAGATCAGTTCACTGGAGAGCAAGGTTTCATCATTTACTCTCCAAATGGGCTGCAATCATCTCTAAATTCCAGTAAGCAATACTTTACAGCTGAGGTCTTTGTCTCTTTCTCAGTAAAAAGCCAGGATTTAAAAATACTGATTTTCAAGGTATGCATACAGCTTTCCTCATTTGGAGGATTAAGACAAGACAAGCTTTCAAATTAGTTTTTAAAACAACTTACCAGGTTTGAAGAAAACACAACGAGGGAATTTGTCCATCCATCTGCCATTTGGTCCACAGACCACTTTGGAAACACCCATTAGTTGAAATTTTGGTTCACAGACAAAAATGGCCACATTGCCTGGTTCAATCATCTCAGATGATGTTTCTTTTTCAAAGCTCACTTTACCATTTACAGGATCCCTTGGAATCTCACATAATTTTGAATTATCTGATCAATTAAAAAATTAAGTACATTTAACTGTTTGCAAAAATCATTTTTGACAACTTAGGACAGGGTATTCATTTCAAATGTGCAACCAATATATAACTTACTTGCAAACTTTAAAAGCAAAGTACAGTAGGGATACAAAAGGCAGTTGTCTCCCTTCCATTAAGAGAATTATGAGATGGCTGGCAAGTGGACATCAGGGGACAGAGTGATGAAAGGCTGTTGTGATGTAGAGCCTGCAGAAGAAAGACGTCTCAGCCCACAGCATGTAGGTCTTACAGGAGAGACCACATGGTGAAGCCATGTTCATAGAGAAACCACTGTAACTCCAGTTTTCCCTCTGGGGAAATGTTACAAGTAAGGTCCCCTTTTATACACACCATTTGTTGTTGCATATATGTTATAATTTCTCTGTGTCAGACACATATCATTTTGTGCATAACATAGCATTATAAAAGTCTGAGAACAAAGCATGTTTGTCATTACTTTTCCTTTCAGTCATTCCAATCCAGCCGTGAAATATGGTGTTATTATATCATGGATATAATAATAATGCCCATAATGAAGAAACATAAATGAGCAGCCTTAAGAATATACTTATCTATTTACATTATTTGGACTGTTATCCTCATCTTCATTGCCATATTCACAATGTTTCAGCCATTGTACATTCCAACCTTCTTCACATGATTGGAATTTTGAACCAAACCCTTTATTTCATCCACTGGGGTAGATTGTTCTAGTTTCACGTGCCATGCCTCTTCCAATCACCTGAAGAAGACCGAAGCGTACAATGGCCAAAACATTGTGAATATGGCAATGAAGATGAGGATAACAGTCTGAATAATGTCAATAATCATAATACCTCATCTCAGAGATACAGACTGATACTTATCTATGTAAGTATTTATCATAATGATTGATATATACACCTATCTATAAGCAGGTGTGACAGACATTGCTCTTTCTGCTTCCTTCATTCTCTTCTACAGTTGGTTTCACTTTTTCTTGACTACCACAACTCCTTGAACAGCATGGCACCAGCAGCTGTGATTGCCTGCTGGCTCTTTCTAGCTATGACTTGATGCCTGTGAGTTTCAGGGTCTCTTTTGCAAATGCCCTTGAAATGTAGTGTCGTGCAGGCTACTGGATGGTGTCCTGTGGACAGCTCACTGTAAATGATGTATTTTTGGTATATGACCATCATTCATACAAAGTATGTGACCCAACCATTGAAGACAAAGGAGAAGATGCATGCTCCAGGGGTCTGCGATGCCAAGGATATGTTGTATACAGCAGAGATGAAAGCTTTCTAGGCATTTTTCCTACCTGATTTATATTGTCCAGGTTTCACTGCCATAAAGGAGAGTACTAAGGATATGTACCTGGAATACTTTTAGTTTGATGCACAAGGTCAGTTGACAGTTGTTCCACATTCTCTTGCTCAATTTGGCCACCATTACTGCTGTGTTTGTCAATTTCTATGTCAGGTAATAGGTTGTTGGTGACAGTAGACCTCAGATATGTGAAGTGATCTGTGACTTCAAGAACCACATCATTGATGCAGATTGGAGATTCAGAAACATCTTCACCCATAATATTTGTTTTTTTTTATGTTAATAATCAACCTGAATTTTTACAGGTTGAACTGACTAATCAGCTGTTGAAGATCATGTCTGGTGTGCATGGTCAGAACTGCATCATCAGCAAAAAGCATTTTGTTGATGAGTACTGTATATATCTTGGTCTTTGCTCTCAGGTGAGCCAAGTTGAATAATTAAGTCAAATGACAAAATGTGTCGGCAAGGACTAAGTACTATTTTCCAATTGTCTATTTTCAATTTGTCTTTACAGATTTATTCTGAGAACACACACACACACACACACATATATATATATATATTATCCAAATGAGAGAAAGAACAGATGGAATAAAATCCCATTGTTTGTAGCATTTACATTTTAAAAAGTGTACAATACAAAGTACAGCAATATATTATTATTTTTATTATAAGAGATAATAAAAAACATACTGAAATCGCTACAGAAAAGCTTTCATGTCTTAATACTTTGATTGTAGCTTTTCAGGCAATATCACCTAAAGAAGTACAATCAAAGTATTGAAACATGAAAGCTTTTGTGCAGCGATTTCAACGTTTTTATTATAATCTCTTATAATAATAATAATTATACATATATATACATACATATATATATATATATATATATGTATTGCGGGCTTGTCAGATGACAAGCAAGTTGTTCATCAATGGCTGAAGTGCAGGCTCTACTCTAAGTGACCTAATACAAGGGTGGGGTGTCTTAATAATTGGTGGTTCAGAATTTTCATTCAATATGCAACAAACAAGGAAGTGGAGGGGTCATAAAAGCATTTAAAAAGGTCAAAAAATGTGAAATTAATAAACATGACAAATAATCTTAATAAGCTCAGGAAGGGGAGTGGTGAAATTATTTTTAATTTTTAATTTAAAAAAAATATTTTTTTTTAAATTTAAAAAATAAAAATTTAAAATCTCCCCTCAGCTATTTGTCACCTAAAAAGTATATTTTCTTAACTATCTCACAAATATGGTGTTAAGAAGTGTCCAAATATTTTTTTTTTTTTTTAGTTAAAATGAACTTGTATACAAATTGTCATTAAGTAAGATTTCTAAAAAAACACTGGCCTCACCTTTAACACATTTAACCCCTGGTAATGACCATGTCCCATTGTTGCACCAGACTATCTTCGGAATGGATGGTTTGTAGCCTGATCCACAGTAGTACTCTAAACTCGAGTCATGTTCCAGCTTGTCTCTAGCTGAGAAAAGAATCTTTTCAAAAAAATCTTGCTTGTAAGCATGAAGTTCTGGCGTGTCAGGCACCATGCAGCTTGCTACAATGAATTGAAAAGAAAATACACAAACATCAACCAAAATTCCATTGAAGAGTGTTTGGAGAAATTCCTATGTAGTTACACAAGAGAATGGTAAAAAGACTCTGACTTACCATAACATTTTGGTTCTTCTATCGACCATTTTTTATTCTCAAGACAAATGGCTGATTTTGACCTACCAACAAACTTGTAGCCAGGCTTACACCTTAAAAATAATCATTAAAATCATCATCATCATCATCATCATCATTAGCTCTGTCTCATAACAGTTGTTATACTCTTTACAAAAATTTTCTTTTATGTCATGTTACTTTTACAAAGGACTTACATTAATACAGGTTTGATATATGGATTTGTTTTTTTTCCACCAAATACAAGGCACAAGAGCCACTCAAGTTAGTGTGTAACTGAAGTGTGTGATATAAATAAAAGAGAAGCTGATAAAAAGTGAAGATTATGAAGATGTGGGTCAGTATCCATCCATCCTCCTTGAATCAAAGAGCTTAAAATTGTAGTGTTCAATGTAGCACCCACAAAAAATGACAATCCTTGGGTAAAAATGTGTTATGATGTAAATAAAAAAAAGTGAACTGCTTTTTTAATTTACATCATAACATTGATTTGTATGGGGAAAATCTTTGAGCATTCTCTTTCTACATGTACCTGCTTTTGTGTCAAAGGTCAAGGTTAGTTATCTAATGTGGCAGGCTTGAAACAAGTATACTAAACATTTTACTTTTATATTTTCTGTCACACAGTTCTTTGTAGGGGTAAAAAAAATATCTGGACAACCTACCCTAAACACATGCATCCTTTCAAAATTAAAGTTATACATTTTATTTCATTTTTTTGTACTCATTCAAGCATTGTAAACCATAGTGAAAATCTCATGCAAACCTTTTAAGTCAGAAAATGCTCAAAATTTTCTCCCATATAAATTAAATGGTTTTTGATTCTTTGAGTTGCATCAGTTCATAGAAATGCAGTACTTTTGGAAAGATGGGAAAAAAACCCATATAACATTAAAAAAAAAAAAAAAAAATGGAAATCACTTCCGAACTGTTATAGGTTTATTGAGACTGAGGTAAGGAAAAATATTAATCCAATGATTATCAGGAAGAAAATTAAAAAGGAATAAAAATATAATATTTGGTGAGTGGTGGATAATATTTTTAAATCTTTGATTCATATAAAAGTTTCCAGCAGTTTTTTTTGGGGGGGAGGGAAAATCTTATTGTTGATATAAATGTTTATTTAGACATTCCTGAATGTGTGTCATTCCATCATATTCAGTTGATGACAAAGCTTCCAGCATTTTTCTGGAAGGGAAATACGTTTTAGAAAAAAAAAAAAAAATTCATATTAATTCTTAGCATTATCATTACATTCACTTATGTGATAATACCCTTGGGAAAGGTATGGCTCCAATTCTACTTCCACCTCCCAGCTATGGATAAACAGTAGGACAGACTGGGTTCTATAGCCTTGGGTGGCAACCAGTCTAGGAGAAAGAAAACTCTGAATTCAAAACTGTATAGAGCTCTGGTGAAGCACATACTATGCAGCTCAGGAAAGGATTGTTTGCATTGACTCAATAATCCCGACTACAGTTGACTCCTTTATTATTCAATTATTTAAAATATTTTGTCATTTGATGATACATTTCAATTGTTGTATCAACTTAATAAAATTTCTGTGTTAAAATGTTTTAAATGCTAAGTTTGCAATTACAATATTTGTTTTATGCCATCAGTTTCTCTGTATGTAAATTTGAAAGGAAGCTAGTGTTACAAGTATACAAGGTGCGACTGAAAAGTTCTTAACTAACCAAGAATAGATTTCAAAATAAATCCTGATATTTGGTTATTTGATTAGATTTTGGGAAATTGATTGGGTTAAGAATTTTTCTGCCTCCTCTCATACAAATATATTTTCATGTTCTGCATAAAAATACAAAATGAAATCATTCATTTTTCTCTAAAGCACTTAAAACCAAATATATATTCATATAAAGTTTTGTTGTACTGAGATTTCTATTTTAAAATGTCAGTGGATTCTATAAATATTTTCATGGTAATTGTTCAGATGAGCTTTCCTCTTTGGTATCTCAACTTTATGAATTTAAGTAAAAACTAGATCGGCAGCTTGGTCTCATCATCTTATTGTTCAAATTGCTAGATGTAATTCTATGCTAACAATTTCTCCTCTCGCACTTCTTGCTTGTGCAACTCTTGCCCAGCCTCTTGCTTTCCAGTCAAATTCAAAAATTTAAATGCAATGTCAGCCATTATCTTCACTCTTCTTAATTCCTGTTCTTTTATAATCTTTTCTCCTTAATAAAGTTATTCTTTTCTTCATAGTCTTTCATGTCCAGTAACTACTTGCATCTGAGTTGCTTTATTGCCTTGCTTGGGGTGTGAAATGATTAAAAAATGAATATATGCCTGTAGTTCTACTAGTTAGAAACAAATGATTATTATTGTTGAACCTCCTGCAATTGTCAAAATTGCCTATAAATTGTGCAGCCATTTTGCAATACCTGCCAAGGAGGTAGGTAAGGTAATTCTGTTAGAGTAGACTGTCTATATACTTAAATCACCTGCTTTTATTTATTTGTTGTATGCCAATGTGATAAGAGATGAAGAGGAAAAATTGAATTTGTCTTTTTTTCTTTTCAAACCTGGCAATTTTATTGAATAAATTTACTTTTTAGTATTTCAAGATATTTTTGTGTAATTTTGGTAAATATATCTGTTACAATGAGATGTCAGTGTTATTTTCATTTTTGCATCATTTAGATGACAATTTATCCATCTCACCCTGGACTTTAATTTTTTTCTAAAATCATATTCCAATTACTAAACCACATCAAGATAAATGGCAGTTGGACAAGAAATTATTACACTGTCAGTTGATAACCTTTTGTAAATTTCAAACTGTATCCTTTATTCAATCCTCACTCCACTGATAAAAGATATCTTGTTTCCAAATTCTTCCTAGTTAATGTATTCTTGTAATGTCACCCATTTCATAATTGAGATAGTGTTTATGATTCCTTATAGGAGAAACAAGTGGTGACAATAACAACCAAACAGAGAACACAACTCAGAGGAAATCATGTTTAATCATAATTTCTATTTTCAAAACTTCTGATAAAAATACGCAGAAAAGTTTAGATTCACCTCTCTGCCGTCTTACTGTTTCTCTGTCAAATTTCCTGCCCTTTCCTAATAAGTTATTAGAAATTTCACAATATTGTCTTTTACTGACTCAATTCTGTATATGCATAAAGTTCTAATTCCAGTCATTTCAGTCCATAACTTCAAGCCATAGCTTCCTAAGCAATAGGTTTGTTAGGTTATCTCAAATATATATTTATTATCTTAAATTTCTATAAATATACTTTATATAGACTTCTGTATATATTTATTATAGTGTCTCATGTACACATTAGTTATCTTTTTTTTTCTGATAAACCTGTTCAATAAAAGTATTCAAATTTAACTGCCAAGATTTATAAAAACTGATGACAACATCACTGTCATTGTGGGTTAAAATTGTAATTTACACCTAACTGGTTGTTTAAGAAGAAATTGAGATATAGGAAAAAGAAGAGGAGCAAAAACAATTTGATTGGTATTTCTACACTGTAGATGTCAAGAATTAGCCATGTCTCTCCTTATGGAAAACGAAAGCTTTAGTTTACTATAGAGACATGTAACATGACAGAATAACCCACAAACATCTTAATCCACATGCAGAATAATTTTTTATAAATAAAACAAAAGCAGTCAAACATTTTATATATTTTCATTGCTTCATTAAAATAGTTAAAAAAAAAAAAAATTTTTGCCAAGATACATAATATTTTTGTTTTACATTCTGAAAATACTTCCAGTCATGCAATGCAATAAAATTCTTATGTTGACTTTCATCAAATATCACAAATGTTTAAACTTACTGGAAAAAGATGATTGAACCTGTTGTAAAAGCAGAGCCTGTAATATAACCATTGTAAAGAGGAGCAGGTTTTAGGCAGCCTTTCTCTGGAAAGGAAAAACAAAATGAAATACAAATAATAAATCTAATAAAAAGATTTTAAAATATTATCAAAGAAAATTTGAAATTTTCATTCTTCTTTAATCCTGTTGAGGATAAGCATCGAATCATCAGATTAAAGTTTTTCTTTACAGAAATATCTAAACCAATATACAATAAATTCCTCAGATCAATGATTAAAAATGGCTGCGAATGAATGAAGCTTCTTTGAAACTTGTGAGCTAACACTACAGAATCGCAACCAAAGAACTGTACCAAATAACAGAAACCACATCACTTGAGGAATTCCGAGAACAACTAAATTGGACAGCACATGTAATTCAAAGAGAAAATAATAACATGATCAAGATGTTGATGTTCCACACTACCAAAGGCAAAAGGTTAGCAAGGAAACCTTCATTAATATTGGAAAGAGGAACAAAAGTTACAATTTGCCTGAATCCTAATAGCCCTATTGCAGTTCTGCAATTATTTCTATTTTTTTAGATGTTATACAAATTTTTCCCCCATCTCTCCAAAAATGATGCATTTCTATGAAACCTTGCAGAAAATAAATCAATATAAATAAAAAAAAAACACCATTAATTTATATGGGGAAAAATGTTGAGTATTAATTTGCATAAGCCATCTTTATCTCAAAGCCATGTTTTAGTGAAATGGAAGTAAATCATAACAAAAGACATATAACCTGTTTTGAAATTCCTATATGGCTATGGAGGCACAGTGGCATAATGAATTGAGGAATTGGAGAGCCGAGTTCAAATTCCAGTAGAGTTCATTACATTCATTTACATGCTAATACCCTTGGGAAAGATATGAATCCATCTTTTCTCCCCACACCTATGGTTAAATAACAGGACAGACTGGCTCCTATAGCCTTGATTGGTGACTAGTCTAGGAGAAGGAAAACTTTGAATTCAAAGAAGCCTGGAGAGGGTTGGGCTCTGTCAGGCTATCTTGTCCAAGATACACCAATACTACTGTGGCTGTAGTATGTGATTGTGATATGGCTAAATTTTAACAAGTGTTTACAAGAGGATAATTAGAACAGTTACACTTGCAAATACCTTAATAATAATAATGATGCTGGTGGCAAAGGTTACTTTTTTTATAGCATGTTAAGATCCCATACACCTTGTATTTATATTTACTATTACAATATCATAGAGATAAGCTAGGTAAAAATACAGATAGTGTATGGTATCTGAGGTAAATATTTTCATATAAGATCCAGGGAATATAATTAGAGTTATTTCAGCGAGTGTGTGAGGGAGGGATTTATAGACTATCATATACAGTGACCTTTATAACTCCTGATGCTCACTATTCAGACATTATCTGTAATGCTGTCATTATAAAGTAAATATCAATTCAATAATACTCATTCATTCTTTTGAATATTAATTAGTACTCCTTCATATGATGCATTCCATGAATCAAATTTAATGATACTTCTTTGCATCATATGAATTAAATTCAATGATACTCTTGCATCACATAAATCAAATTTAGTGATACACTTTCACAATACACATTGCATGAATCAAATTCATTGACACTCCTTCGCATCATGAATCAAATTCAATGGCACTCCTTCACATCATGCATTCCCTGGATCAAATTCAATGACACTCCTTCACATCATGCATTCCCTGGATCAAATTCAATGGCACTCCTTCACATCATGAATCAAATTCAATGACACTCCTTCGCATCATGCATTCTCTGAATCAAATTTAATGACACTCCTTTGTATCACCATCACTTGAATCATTAAAGATATGTCAATTCAATCATACCAACAAGAATTCTCTTGTTATTCTTTAGATATTTCATAAAATAAAAAAATAGTCAATTAAAAAAGTTATTGAACATTTTGCTTTTATGTATTTAAAAGCTACAAATAAGGTTCAGGATATATCATGTGCAAAATGGACAAAGGTAGGCAGGAGGCCACCTACCTGACAAACTTGTGTGAATGGATGGCAGAATGGGGTATGAGGTTTGGCAAACAGACAAATGTTGTGAAGATCTACAAAGGATAGAAGGTTGTGAAGGTCCATGATCACCCATGTCCTGAAAGAACATGGCATGTAGAAGAAATACAAAGCATTGTCTTGTGAACAAGGAAGTTTGTTACCTATGCATTTGGGTTCAGATCCTGTCCAGTTTTCTTTCACTCGACAAATCCGGCGTTGAGGACCTTGTAGTTCATAGCCATTATTGCAAACATAGGTGGCAACACTATTGACAGATACACCAGCATTAACTCTGCCATTTAGGGGATCTGACAGTGGGGGACACGTAAAGGCTATGAAAAGATTTCAGAAAGAAAGAAAAACATTAAATAGGCTGTAAATAATTCTCAATCAAAATGATACATTTTGTTATAAAATTTTTTTATAATGTTATGTTATTCTGTTATAATGCTACATTTTCGTTATAAAATTTTGTTAGTTGCTTGTTAACATGATAAAAAGAGCGCTATTCCAAACTTTAACCACTTGTAATAAAAATCCAAGGCAGAAGCCAGAGTTTTTCCTTTTTAGTTTTTATTCTATATTAAAATATCATGAAGCATTATGGGAAGGCTGTGGATCTTCATTGTCTATCCTTGGCCAATAAGGAATGACCAGTTTTTTTGTATTTACAGATATCATTAGAATAGTAGGTACAGAAGCAAGAAAAAATAAGATGGAAGAAATACTTAGCAAAATAGAATAATAATGCCTCCCTCTAAGAAATGTTAATAATGCAAATCAAAGATTCTTTCAACTAAAAATATTCTTTGGCTGCTTACGTTCACATCGTGGTTCGGTACCTGTCCAGGTCTGGTTTTCTGAGCACATCCGTTCCTCTGATCCCACAAGCTTGTAACCGTCATAGCAATAATATTTAATGCTTGAACCAAACAAATTCTTACCAAATCTCGCACCATTTTCTGGTTTACTTAAAGGAGGACATGTAATAGCTACAGAGAAAGACAAAAATTAAAAATACAAAATAAAACTTAGTTAAAAAATATAACTAAAAAACTGTTGTGATGTGGGGTCTGGCAAGACACAACACTTAACTCAACCAAGTCAATCGTGATTGTAATATTCAATACTTAGATAGACAAGACACTACAATAGTATTATCTTCTTTCCTCTAGAGAATTACCCAGGATTACTTATCATGAATAGATCAGTCCATTGATGATAGTAAGAAGGGTAACTGGCTCTTACCACAACAAAAACATATCGGAATTTTCAACACTATTTACATTATTTGGACTATTGTCCTCATCTTTGTTGCCATATTTATTACAATGTTTCAGCCGTTGTATGCTCCGGCCTTCTTCAGGTGGTTGGAAAGTTGAACTGAATCCTTTATTTTGCTCACCGGGGTAGACTGTTCTAGTTCCACATACCATGTTTAATGGATGTCAGTTATCAGTTATCTCCTATTAATTCCCCTCTCCAAGTTCTCCACTGCCTTAACCAGGTATTGAACTCACACTCTTTGGGTCCTGTTACTGGATCTAACTAATGCCTTTATCCACTGTGCCATGTGTCCTTGAAGAAGGCCGGAGTGTACAACTGCTAATAACTTGCAAGACATGCATATTGTCAATTGCATTCAAGTTTGCAACAGGTAATCTAAGCAACTTACGTTCGCAAGATGATATAGCCCCATTCCATTCACCATTTTCTTGACACATTAAATATTCGTACCCAATCAATTTATGTCCAATATTACAGCGGAAATGTATCCTTGATCTGTATGTAAATTCACTTCCTTCTACACGTCCACCACGGATCTCACCAGGAGGATTACAACGCATAGCTGAATAAAAAGAAAAATCAAGATTCTTGGCCTCATATTCTAAATTTACTGAAAAACAATTTTTTTGTTTTCATTTATCACAATGTTTTAACTAAATATATTCTTCAGTTTTAAAATGCAGTTTTAGAAACTCACACGTAATAATTACTTCTAGAAGTTTGCCATGTCTTAAAGAAAACCTTTATAAAGATTTGGCTTTATTCCGGGTCTTAAAAGGGATATAAAATTTTATCAGTACATATAAAATATATTTTTTTACTAATTATCTTTGCATTCATTTTTAATAGGTAAAAATTGGAGTATATTGGAATTAAGGACGTTATCTGAAGATAATCACCTGTAAATACACATATGCCTTACAAAGGAAATGTTTATTTTGGCCTAAAGAGAAATATAATAAAAGTATTGTGGCACATATGCTATCTTGCTGTGATAATTCTGATTTCTTTTGGTATAAGAGAGGAACAGAGTTTTTAGGGTAGAGGTGCCTATTACTAAGGATTAGCAGTACCCGGGAAAATTTCATGGGTTTCCTGTTTTTATTTTCTGATGAATTATAATTCTTAATTTAATGATAGAATAAGCTCCTTGCAAGCTGTACAACTATAAAATACATGTGGAAATTCCACCATTGCATTGTTAAATATTTGAGCTTAACAACTTTACAAAATAAGGCAATAAAATATTTACAATAACCTGTATGAATGGAAGTAATTCAAAGAAGTAAGAGGGTACAAATTTTTCCATTTCATTGTAGCAGACGTTGGGCACTTCAACATGGTGTAATGATTAGCAAGCTTGTCTCTCTAGATCAATTACGATTGAATAGTGAGTTTGATCCTCACTGGAGGCTCCATACTTTCAGCCTTGTGCCACATCTAAGCTATGCATATGTTATGGTAACTTACCCACACACGCATGGATTCTCCCAGCTATAAAGAGGAGCAGGTACTGCCTTTTGGAGAGGGAAGTTTCCAGCAGTTACCTCTGACATTCGGATCGAACATTCTTGCTGTAACACTCTCGTTTGTATATGTTTGTATTACTGTTTCTGTTAATATATTTGTTTAACTCAATTCCTCTCTTGTCATTTTATTTCTGGCCCTAACAAGGCCTCAACAGCTTAGAAAATCATTTGATCACAAATTACTTCAGAAGTATGCTTGTTAAACTCTCTGTCTCGGGACAGAGAGGAACCCAGACAAGGCTGTGCTGAAGGGCAGTCTTGTCTGGGGTGGTAGACAGGTATGTAACCCTGTTTTTATGGGGTCTACAGGGAATTATTGCCTGAGCCTACGGGCTCGGATAGCCCACAATAAACTTGGCCACATCTGACCGCGTTGGGTGGTTAATGAATATCTCACTGAAGCAGATGTTAAATGCATGAGAGCATTATTACTTCCTCTATCTTCTCTTTCGTTTTTATTATGTATGCTTTCTTTTTCTCACTAAAGCCAAACAACATCTCTGATAGACTTTTTTCTTCCATCTTTCCTCACAAAATGGTCCATTATTTATTTCAGGCAATTGTAGGATGCAACACGTTCTTACTAACAGAGAAACAAGCAGAATTGAATATATTATTAATCATAAACTCTTTCAGAAAAAAAAAATGAATTTATTAATTTCCCTATTTGTAAATAAAAAAATTTAATCTTGACTTACTATAATTTGATATTTATTATTTGGGTACTTACGCTGACATGTCATATCCAATCCTGTCCAAGAGGCATTTTTCCCATTGCATCTTGCCAAGTGATGTCCCATGTGAAAGAATCCAGGAATACAAGTGAAGGCCACAACATCACCATCTGCATATGCTGGTCGCTTCAATGAGGCATTGTGTTTGGCATCTTGTATAGTTGGCGGTAAGCCACAATAGTTGGGTTTTACTGAAATAAAAATAAAAGAGGAATGAACTGTTTACATCCTTTTTTTTTACTACACATAGATCATTGGGTAGCAGGGAAGATCAGAAAGAAAGAAAGTAATCTCCAGTTTAGCTTTTATCGTTGTGAATTCAAATCTTGCCAGAGCCTTATTTTTTATTTTCTATCTTGTTGTATCCTTAAGAGGTTACAAACTGACAAACGTGGTACTCGAGTGAAGGAACAGCAACACACACACATAGATGAAAGAAAGAGAGGTTTATTGTAAAAGAGAATACACTACTGAAAGACAGGGAATCAGGTGGTAGGCTAGTAATTCCTGAAGCAAGCCCCCAGGTATATCCTGTGCTCACTATATAGAGCTAATGATATAGTCAATTCACAATAGGCGATAGGGAGTATGAGACATTCCATTACAACATATCTGCACCTAATTTTACTAACAATTGCAGATTGCTTGTGTTATTTACATTATCCGGACTGTTATCCTCATTTTCACTGCCATATTCACAACATTTTGAATGTTCTATGCTCTGGCCTTCTTCAGGTGATTGGAATTTCAAACCAAACAACTTCTTTCATCCACCAGGGTAAATTATTCTAGTTCTACATGCCATGTCTCTTCTGGATGTCTCACTTATTTCCCTTTAACTCAACTCTCCAAGTTTTGGTTCACCACTACTGTGGCCTGGTATTGAACTCACAACTGAAGAAGGCTGGAATATACAAGGGCTAAAACGTTGTGAATATGGCAATGACGATGAGGATAACAGTCCAAATAATGTAAATAATGCAAGTAATCATAATACCTCATCTCAGAGATATAGACAGAAATTGCAGATTGATGGTCTGAGAATTTCACAACAAAAAACCCAATAGAAATTAAAATGAAAGAAACACTAATCAAAAATTATTACCTGGCTATGCTTTATCTAAGAGATTCAGATACTTAAGAATAAATGGCTCTATGTGCAGAAATGTTAATGATATAATCCCAAATTATTCTGTAACATCCAAGAACTTATCATAATGAAACAGAATACTGTTTAATAAATAAATGAAGCATCTACTCAAATACAAGTATCCACTCAAAATAATGTTTAATATGATAAAAAAATCTGTTGGATTAATAAAAAATCAATTTCTTTCTTTAGAAAATTTGCTTTGTTTACATTTGGACAGGAAACTGTGCTGATATGTAAAATTTTGAGAGATCTATGATGAGAGAAATTTTGCTTAAAGGTACTTATTTGATCTTGCCTGACCAGTTGGTTCTTTGTAGCTTAATTGGTTAGACCATACTAGATTTAATATTAGCTCCCTCTGCCCAGAATGACGCAGGTTCAATTCCTGCTAGATAGTGTAAATGTTTCTTAAATAAGATTTCTCAAACATTCAGGCTGGTAGATGAAAATAAATAAATATACTGTTTAATAAATAAACAGATTGTCTATGCAAGTACAAGTATCCACTAAAAATAACTTTTAAAGTGATAAAAAATGTGTGTGTGTGTGTGATTCTGTAACAGAATTTGTGACAAATCTATGTTGAGCACACCATTGTGACAAAGGTCACAAGTCTCTACCATTTATGGATTTCATTTCACATTATAAAAGCTAAGAGGCCATTATTCATTTACACACACTTTGAAAAGTACCTGTTTGAAAGTTCACTTTCAGTCATTTACTAAACTTTAGTTAATTTGGTACAAGGCAATAGTATGCAGAAGGTAGGTGAAAAGGTGTGAAGGCCCCAGGCATCCATATTGAGAGGGCATCCAGTCAAATAATGAAATAAAAATTGTGTTTATATTAACAGATTTCAACATCTATCAGAGATGAAATTTAAATTTTTATTATTGCTTTATTCCAAAATTTTAACACATCAGCAGATAGCTATTAATGTCAATAAATGAACACAAATAGTTATTAATTAAAAAAATTAGTAACTAATGTATTATCTATAACTATATGTACAAGAATGTCATTTTGATAAAAATTTAAAAAATAACCCTAAATACAATAAAACATGTGTATATTGTGGAAAATTCCTTTTTCCACAGTATAGCTATTTGTGCTATGTCATAATGCTTATTACCTAAACAATAATAATACTGAATAATTTTTTTTCAGCATTAAAGTATATTTAATCACATTTCCCTAATAGCTGCAATGATCCTTTAATTTGAATAAAGTTTTGATTTGATGTTTCATCTGTTTTTACATAATTAAAATGTCTTCCTTTCTCCCATTTCTCAGTACTAGGCCCTATACCCCATCCCCTTCACTTGGGGGCATCATCAAAGATCTGCACATGACTGGTACAAGGCCATTAACCAGTGATTACCAATTTGTAGAATTTTACTTGCAAATTCCAAACGCAATCCAGGTTACACAAAAAAAATACCAACATGAACCCCATGATATAATGACTCGAGATCTTTGTTCCAAAATTTAGCAATTTTTTCTTGCATTACAATCTTGAAAAATTTAAGTCACAAGCACTCATTGCTTGACTAAATTATGTCGTAAAGCTATTGAAAGTGTTAAACTAAATTTTTTATTTTGATAAATGAAGACATTGTATTTCCTGAGAATGGAATGGAGTGTTTCCCTATAAAAAAAATTATAATATGACATTATTATTATTGAATCTCCAGTATCATGTTAAATGGAATCCCTTATTTTGCAAAAAAAAAGAAGTTTTCAAAAGTTCTTAAAAAGACACTTTAATGATAAATCAGCACTTCTGAAATTATGAGTTGTGACCTCAAATGGGGGTCACAAAGCAAAATGCTGGGGGCATGAAAATTTAATTCAAACACTTGAATTTCAGTTTCTATGTTATTTCACAAATGTAAAATATTTAAAGTGATGCGCCATACAAGCGCTGTGGTAATAAAACATGTGTGGTGCTGTTGCGATTAATGCAGTGACAATATATGTATTTTCAATATATGTATACCTGGGGTCGCAAAAAATTGTGTGATGAAAAATGGGGTCATGAATAAAAACGTTTAAGAAACGCTGATCTATCAAAGAGTTAAATATTAAACAGAAAAGTACAACACGTACATATGCAAGTGGGTGTTTTATGATCCCATGTACCATCTGGTTTACATGTTTGAACCTCTGATCCAAGCAATTGCATTCCATTAGCACAAGAATAAATGATGTGACGCACAGGGGAATTTTCTACCCGAGCATGGCCATTTGCAATATGGCCAGGTTCTCCACACATTTCATTCAGTGTTTCACGGTTCACTAAAAAAAAGGAAAAAAAAAGTATAAATGCTCAAGAACAATGGTTGTTACAAAAGATTAAATGATTGTGCTCAATTGTTTAAGTTTTTAAATCACTTGAAATGTCTTTTTGTTATTAGATTGTAAACTTTTTTTCTATTTGAAGTTCTTAATTTATAGTAAGTTAAAAAAAAAAAAAAGCATTATTTTTGTTCTTTCCTCATGTACAATTCCACCAAATATTTCTAAATATTTTAATGGTAATACTGAATATTTTGGATAAAACTTTCCCCATTTCAGTGAAGAGTGTCATAATAAAAATAGTGAACATTTTGCCATTGGTATAGTGATTCAGACTTCTCCACCATTCTATTTATAGATTGATTTTTTTTACAGCTTATCAACACTTCATGGGTTATTTAAAACTGAAATATTAACTGGATTATAAGAATTATTCTTTTTTTTTCTGTGAGTGAATATAGCATTAACAATTTTTCAAGAATATCAATAATTATTCCAGATAAAAGTCTTACTATGTAATATGATTTTTTTCAGATTTAACCCATAGCTTGAGAAGGAAATAGATTCATACCTTTCTGAAGAGTATATGTGCATAAGTGAGTGTAATGAACCTTACTTGAATTTGAACTCAGCTCTCTGAATTCTCATCCTGATCAGCTATTCATTACACCATCTGCACATCCAGTTCTGTTTATAGAGATATTTACAGAGCTTCATTCTTTGTGGCAATAAACCAATTAATCTATGACAATCCTCTGTTGTCACCGATGCTCACACTTTCATCATGAAGCATTTCAACTCTTCAAGATTTAATGGATTATATTTTCTTAATCTCCTCTTGATGATTTCCCAATGGATTCTTCATTGAATTTTCATCTGGATTATTTGCTGACCAATCAACAACAGTTATCCTCTTCTCCCTAAACTATTCTTTTGTAGATTTTGCTGCATAGAGTGGCACAAGGTCATGCTGGTTGATAAATTCATTGTTTCCAAACCTGTTCTCAATGTATGAGATAAGGAAATTATCTAAGATATCATGATGACAACATTAACTGACCTTTTTAAGAACTAGATCTTTCTAACACTGGTGACAAACACACAACCATGGCTGATTGAGGAATTTTACACATTTCCATGTATTTACCATTGTATCACTAGTGTGACCTTTCTCCAGATGTGAAGTCTACAATCACCAATAGAATAGAATATAGAATATTTAGAATATAGAATTTTGATTCATCATGAAAATAACTTGATTCCATTGAACAGCAGACCAACTTTAAATGGTCTCTAGCCCAGATTAAATTCTTCTGTTTTTGCTTAAAAGTTAGTGGCTTTGAAATCCATATCATGCTGTCATATCCGAGCTAATGGAGTCTCTGTGATTGAGAAACAGCTACACCAGCATCATTCCAGGCTTTGGAAATTTCATAACAATTGTCAAATTGATTCAGTTGATGTTCATCTCTAACTAATGTCTTGACTTTGGGACCACTGTCGAAACATTTTGAACCAGTTTCTTTTGTTATCTCCAAGTCAGTAGACTAAGAGCATCCCACCTTGACAGATGTCTTTGAGTTTTTCCAGCTTCCCACAATGTGTGAATGATGACTTTTGATGCTTTTTGATATATTCTTAATACATGCCATTTATGATACTGGGTGACAATATGCTGAACATCAAAGATTCTACTCTTTTTATACAAATACTTTGACAATACTCATAAAATAACCTTTTATGTAAATTTTAATTGGCTGGGAGGATATGCCAGATTAACAACATATACTGAATTGATGTACTGTTAAGAGTAAATGATCCAATTTTAAACAAATTTTCTTTTTATTATTTTTTGTACATTTTTCATCATGAATCATTTTTCTTAGTGAATTTTTGAAGGTACCTAAATAAGAGTCTGTCTATATTTCCAAGATGAGGTATTATGTACATTATTTACATTATTCGGACTATTGTCCTCATCTTTGTCACCATATTTATCACAACGTTTCGGCCGTTGTACACTCCGGCCTTCTTCAGGTGGTTGGAATGTCGAACTGAACCCTTTATTTCACTCACTGGGATAGACTGTTCTAGTTCCACATGCCATGTTTGATGGATGTCAGTTATCTGTTATCTCCTGTTAATTTCCCTCTCCAAGTTCTCCACTGCATTAACCAGGTATAGAACTCACACTCTTTGGGTCCTGTTACTGGATCTAACTAATGCCTTTATCCACTGTGCCATGTGTCCTTGAAGAAGGCTGGAGTGTACAATGGCCGAAACGTAATAAATATGGTGACAAAGATGAGGACAATAGTCTGAATAATGTAAATAATGTACCTAAATAAGTTCTTTATATGGAAAAAGACTGAAACTCTGTAATATCCATCAATGAAACATGTCTGATTGAAAATGAGATTTGGCTGGTAGTGTTGTCACTTAGTTAGCAATACAAATTTCGATGCATTGGACCTGACAGTTTTGCACAAAATGAATGCATATATGGGTACAGTGATATGAAAGTAACTCATTATTAAAGACCAAACATTGCTCTACGAAAGAGTAGAATTTCTCTGGTATTTCACTCACTAAAAGTTTTCCATTTGAAAATCTTTTGGGAAAAACAATTTCAAACCACCAAAATGATGAATGTCTTTTTTTCTTTAAATGGGACTATTTTGATATGCATAGGGAGACACAGCTTTGAGTTCAGTGAGTTTGAAATTGTCGGCTATGAAAATGCAGAAAAAGTGCCACCTGCCATTGAAATAGTAACATAATTTAAAGAAACATGGAATAAATACTAATCATCACAAATGAGAAAGAATTGGATGTTTGTAAAGAGAAAGGATTAAATCTGGACACATTAATTCTATTGAAATAGCCTAGGAAATAAGCAAGATATCAGCAGGTAAAATTGAAGGAAATTTCACTATTTTGATAGGTTTCCACACTGTTAAACTACGGAGGTTTGAGATACATATTTGAAGCTAATTTTAACCATTAATCCAAAAAAATGGTTTGAAGCAGCTGCTACTTAAGAGCATGTGGCCTAGTAGTTAGAACACATACTTTCCAACTGTGAAACCCAGGTTCAAATTTCATTATGGTCACTTTATCAAGTAGGTGATGTTACTGTCCTGGGGAGGTGATCCCAGTGTGCAGCACCTTTGAAAAATGCCTGAAAACTATACCACGGGTTGACCCAAGCCTTGTGAGTGAAATTGGATAGATGGAAATATCTGGAAACCGTCAGTAGATGTGCTAACACAAAATCATAAGTCACTGTGACTGAGAGTTTGAGTGTATTGACCTTATTCAGACTGTTAATCTTGCCAGATAATATGCTCTCTCCAAGAAACTGTAACTAAGTTCCGCTCAGCACAAACCACAGGTGGGCTCTATGGGTTTTGAACAAAAATTTTCCCTAAGCAGGCATCTGCAACAGGGATTGGCTAACCACCCTAAAAGACAGGCATACTAGGATACAAGCAGCCAGTCACTACCACTACTACAGTTAAAAGATTTCGGAATGAGATGAATGCCATGCATGTCATATATATACTAGAAACTAGATCTATTGGTTATGAAATTTGGTAATAGAAATAAAATTCAAAAAATTCTAATTTAAAAAAATTATTTTAGACTAAAAAAAAGAAGAAAAACTAAGCAGTCTGTTTTCTTACCTTTGCATTCCATTGTTGGGCCTCGCCATTTACCTTGATAGCACCAGGCTTCAGAAAGACCACCCTGTTGATAACCTTTGCTGCATTTGTATTGCACTTTGGTCATTTCAGGGAATTGTTTCTTGTTAGAAGAAGGATAAAATAAGGCATGAGATACTACTGGTGGCACACCACACTGCTCTGAAAAAAAAAATAAAATCATTATTAGTGTAAAATCCCAAATATATTGAAAGGGTAAGCTTGTTACCTTTATTCAAGAAATTCTTTTATTAAAAATTGTTTTGAAACCTGAGTGCTTCCTTCCCTGTAGGCTAGTCTTCTAATTTGCACTAAGTCATGTAACTATAAATTTGACTAGAAAAGTTTCAATTTGCTGATAAGAAAGATAATCTGACAACAGGTGAGAGTCAAGGGATTTATAACACAAGATAATTACAAAAAGAAAGCAGAATCTGGATTTTAATCTTTGCTTCAGAAATTAAGTGAGAAACTATTCTATTGGATTTTCTTCTGGCTAATTTAAGCTGTTTGCCCTCTAAACTTTTGTGAGGGACCATTGTGCAGTCTCTTTATACCACATTCATTGAGGATGGTATTTATATACTAGTGCACAAATACCCTCCTCAAATTGAATATGTGCATCAACTTCAATGTTGACTACATGGAAAAGTAACAGATATATAATGTTGGTAATATATACATAATATTTTATTAATAAAAATTATCATATAATATTTGTCACTCCCTTTGTTAGTTCATATGACCATTACACTCTTCCAATACCTCATAAATAATGGACTATTCCGTTTTGATGTGGAGAGACAAGACATATCAAAGATGCTACTTGGTTTCAGTGAGAAAATGAAAGAAAGAAAGGCAGATGGAAGTGTTTAAAGTCTGTTTCAGTGAAATGAAAAACGTCATCAATTTCAATTTTTTTCATTTGTACCCCCTTACTCCTAAAAATAACAACCAGCATTCATATTTATGATTGTTATTGCAATATTTTGTTAAAGTTGTTAAGCTCAAATACTTAATGATGCAATAGGGTATTTTCTATAGATATTTTATTGTCGTAGAACTTATCATGTTAATCATTAACTGAAGAATTAAGATTTAGCAGAAATTTCAAAAGGGAAAATTGTGAAATTTTCATGGGTTAAAACTAGTTGTTTTATTATTATTATAATAAAAAGTATTTATTTCAATATTTTATTAATAAAAATTATTATTATTATATTAATAATAAACATGTTGGATTAAGATCCTTCATATTGTTCTTTTGGACTTTAATATAAGTTTTCTACCCTAAAGTTCATCCAGTACAAAACTCAAGAACCACTCAAGGCAGAAGGTTACAGTTAAAATAATAAATATGAATCAAATAGGGGTGAAAATTATGAGGATAAGGAGGATAGATAACAATTGACCCTTGATTTAAGAGGTTAAGATACTATTGTTCAGGATTTGACTGATTGATTTGGGTTTTTTTATGGATTATCAACCTTTTACAGGTTATTTAAAATCAGAAAATATTTTTAGATTGTGGCAATAAGTTTGTGACATTGTATCTGTAGAGAAAGAGGTTATAGAGTGGAAAATAAGTCATCTCCTACAAAACTGCAAACGATTTTGAACTCTCAAGGAAAGTGATGATGTATGTATAACAATGATACTCCATTTTTGCCCTAATCTAACTCTTGCAGAAAGATTCAAGTACTTCCTGGAGCAGTTGACCATTTTTCCAACAACTTTAGCAATTCCTCTTGAGATTTGGAATGAACTCAAGACCCAATAAAATGTTCAAATTATGGAGTTTCATTGTGAGTGCAACCATTCAGTACAACTAAAGAAAAGATAACCCATTTTACCTGTGTATGTTCCCAAAATACTTATTTGCTTCATGGATCAGCTTTCAAGAGAAGTAAAAAATAGAGAACATAAACATGTCAACCACATTGCCAAATTTTTGACTGTATTTTAAAATGCATTTCAGATCTTGACTAGCCAAGTGTAACCCAGACATTTTATTGGCCTATTACAAAATTGGTATCTTTATTCTTACTTATTCTTACTCTGCTATTTTTATAAGAAAAGTATTTAAGTATCAGAAAGTTTCAAAGAGGTAAAGTAAAATTACTTACTTATACACAAAAAGCTGGGCGGTTTCCATTTGCCATTTCGACAAATGGCTGTGGCACTTCCAAGGGTCTTTCGACCATACTTACACACGTACGAGACCTCTGTAAAAGGAGGATAAGACGCCTTTGTTGCAACTGTTGGGTAGGCTTTTTTTGTAACTGGCAGTTTTCCACACATTTCTGAAAAATTAGACAAAAATCAAATATCCATTTAGTACTAGCATTTCAGCATACAAGGTTTTCTAGGAAAAAAAAGGTTAAAGAAATAATTTATTTCTCAATTTTATCTGATTGTAGGTAACTCAAATATAAATTTAATTTGTGAGCTATTAACATAAATTGAGCCCTGTATACAATATCTATATCTCTTATTTCAAGGGACCTTCTGTTGTGTCTGTGTGTGTGTATCTATATATATATATATTTAGTTTATGAAAAACTAGGTAATCTGCATGGGTAGACCCAAGGAGGATGGTATCCGGAGAGCTCAATGTAAAATTCAGAGCTGATATGTTTGAATAAAAACAGACCACTTTAAGGTTCCATGTAATAAGTTATTTCACCATAACCCCTTTTTCATTTTAACCTTTGGAAGTAAAGTCTGATGATCCAGAGCCCTGTTAAAGGGGTTATGGTGAAATAACTTATTACATGGAACCTTAAAGTGGTCTGTTTTTATTCAAAAATATATATATATATATATATATATATATATATATATATCCGATATATGATGAGAATGAAAGTAATATATAAATTCCAACGTTCACAGCATTAATCCAAAAGAGGGCTCGATACTGATAGTAGAGCGATAATTATTTATTTATTATAATTTTATCATATAGACAAAACCATTTTAATCACTACAAAGATGCAACTTCGTTTCAATGCATTTCAACTGCACTTCGACAGGTGAGAATCGAAAATGGTTACCAGTTGAAATGCAGTGAAACAAAGTTGCATCTTTGTAGTGAGTAAAATGGTTTTGTCTATATGATAAAATTATAATAAATAAATAAATATATATATATATATATATATATATATATATAAAAATCAAGACACTGTTGGAACTAATTTAATTTATTTTCCCTTCTTCAAACTTGTCATCAGGGTCAAGAATGACCTGCAAGAATCCCAGGACAGTCATAATTAAATTATATGCCTGATTCTCATGGTATTGAAATTTGATCTAAAGATGGAAATTTTTTTTTAACTACAGTGCAATATACTACTACACAGAAGCCATCATGGTGCTCAAGTTGGTTCAATAGCATATACTCCTCTATGGCCAATTGTTAAATTATTAAATTTGGCTGGAAACAATTGCATGTTTTTGTTTGGCCAGAAAGGTTTTATTTCATAGCTGTCAACAGGATGAGTTCTGTGTGAGTTTGTGCATGATATACACAATTGTCATGTAAGATGTGATTTGCATGAAGAAAATCAGTTGAAAACAAACAGGGAGTGATTAAAGTGAAGATTAAAAATTGTATTTCATAAGCCAAAGCAGATTTCAATGAAATCAGTAATTTTGGTTAGGCAGACAACATTCATTGCTGCTACTAATGTTAAAGGTATAGCCAGATTGTTATATATAAATAATAGGGCAAGCTGTTTAAAATTTTAAAAAGATGCTTAGCAATATATTAAAATAGAAAATAAAATGGCTATACATTCAACATTAGTAGAAACAATATTTATTTCAATTGTATAATTCTATTTGAAGAGAAATTTTAAATGTTTTGATAAAACAAAAAACGTGGTTTATAATTGGCTTCCATTTTGTTCAACCCATTTTTGGTTGCAACTTCCTAATCAATTTACATGACAATCACACATAAAAATCACATCTTGCTCAGACTAAAACTTTCCCAAATTAAAATTAGAATTTAGTTATGTTTTTATACTTTTTTTCAAAACTGTAAAAGTCAAAATAAAACACTCACTTTCACACGTCATGTCAGGACCAATCCATTTTGGTTTTTTCCCTTCTGCTCCACCACAAATGGCTGTTGTGATCCCAAATGCATGATAATTAGGTTTGCAAGTGTAATTAACTGAATCCCCAAGACGAACCTGTATTTTCTTGGGCTGCAATGTATTGGCAATGGTTGGAGGATTTGTGCAAAACTTATTAAGCGAAGCAGCTGGAATGAGAAAAAAATTCTTTAGTGGACATTATCAGATTATAATAAAGAATAAAGGAACATGAGGTTACAACACAGAAGCCATCATGGTACTTAAATTGATTCAATAGAATATACTCTTTTATTGCCAATTGTTAAATTATTAAATTTGGCTGTAAACAATTACATGTGTCTGCCTGGCCAGAAAGGTCAACATTTGCATATATCTTTATTAATAAGTGGATTTTTTAATCAGACATTATTTCTTATTACTATAAACATCAGTTTTAGTGTTTGAGTTGATATTCCCTGTTTTTTTTTTTTTTTTTTTTTTAAAAAAAAAAATCAATCAAGAAATCCCAGTAAAAAGAAAAATGTGCCTCTTGACAGAAATTGAACCAGCATTCCTTTTTCTATCAAGGAAACCACTCCTTTAGCCAAGATGTGCACTTACCAATTAGACCAAGTGAAAAACAGGATTGTCAACATAAACATGTACCATAAACAGTGTTTATAGTAATAAGATCTTTGTTTGAATGCAAACAAAAATTAACCAGGGATGGGCAGAAAAGGAACAAAACTTCTTTACCAAAAATGGTTCTAAGTTTAATCTGCATTCTTGAAAAAGTCTATGTATACATAAGTTTAATCTGCATTCTTGAAAAGAAGTCTCCTATGTACACTGACATTTTAAAGTTTGTAGAAAGACAGCTGAAATTTCTGAGACACATAATGAAGAAAAGGGAGCCTAGAGAAAGCAAAAAAAATGAAGTGGCAAACAGTAAATAATCTACTTAACAAGTCTGTATGATTGAATGGCAGAATAGAGCAAAGAAGCATGATAAGAGGGCAATAATTACTTAGAGCAACAAAAGACAGGTATTTGTGGTGAGCCATGATTGCCCACATCCTAAAAAGACATGGCATATAAACAAATACATAGTAATTCAGAAAATGAATGCAAGAATTAAACATATTATATGTTAAATATATATTAAATTTTATATATATTAAATGTCATATATATTAAACTTATTATATGAGTAAAAAGCTAGAATTTTAAATGCCTATTTTTGAGGTAGACAACATCTTCTGAATTGGACATGATGCAGCATAATTGCCGCATTTCTGTTTCACTTGATAAATATATAAAAAAAAATATTGATGTGTCTAGGCTTTATTAATATTTAGACAACCAAATGAATTGAACTGAAATTTGGCACATATTATTTTTTTATTCTAAGGATTGGAGTCCTATATTGGAACTATGCTCAATTGCATATCTTAAATAGTTTTAAATTATTTCTGTTTACTGAATTTATAAGCAGCATTGCACAAATGCTTCTTATATGGGATTTGAATAATTTATCTGTTCTTATCAGCACAAGATAATCACCAATGACACATTGAAAAGTGGCAGTGGAAATGGTCAACAAAAGGCCAGATTTCAATTTCACCAGATACAGCATAAAAGTAGACCTTAAATATTAATAGTCCTTTGATTCTATTGGATTATAGTTTCTGTTTGAGCTGATGAAAAAGGAAACAACAAATTCTAAAGACTAGAGGCAATATACACCTAAGGAAGGCTGAAGAACAGATCAGCTGAAATGTTGGGATAAAAACAACAAAGATGAAGATACTGGTTTGAATAATGTGCAGAGTGACATCTAGAGATCACTGGATGCAACATACACTCGAGGAAGGCTGAAGAACAGATCAGATGAAATGTTGAGATAAAAACAACAAAGATAAAGATACTAGTTGAATAATGTGTAGAGTGACATCTAAAGACTGCTGGGTGCAACATACACCTGATGGCTGATGAATATATTTACTGAAATGGAAGAAAAAACAAAAATGAAGAAATAGTCAAAGGCATATATGGAATATATGTTGACAAGAATTTCTACAGAACAAGAATAGTTTCAGAGGAGGAAGAATGAACACTCCACTATCTTTCCCAAAAAGTAATGAAAATTCACATATTTTAAAAATGGATATCTGTGGAAGCCATAACTTCATACATCCTGAAAAGACATGGCATTTAAAGAAAACAAAATGAAGGTGAAAAATCATCTTTTGGGACTTTTTTTGGCATTTACAAATGGCTGAGTAGATAGAATAATATTTCATTCTTTTTTCTTTGGTGAAAATATCTAACTAGATTTCTGGGATATCATTCTCAAGTTGCCCTTATTGCAAACAAATAAAGAAAAGAAAAAAAAAACACATGGAAAAGAGAGTTGGGAGGGGACAGCATTTTTAGAGAACAATTTTCTTTTTCAAGGAAGGAAGGCAACATTTATTGCTCTCACCATTGGCAGGAAAAGTGGGTTAAAGGTCAAGTATTTAGAACTGCAGACTTTAATTGGAGCAAAGGCAGCAGATTTATAAAAGAACAACAATGTAAGTCAAGAACTAATTTTTTTTTACCTGATTTCATTTCCAAATGGTTATTTTTGGCTTTAAACACATTTTACTTTTTTTGACTTCTACTGCTTCATTCAGTTATGTACCATGCTTGATACATGCTTAGGCAATCATGTATCTTTCAATACATGACTGACGAGGCAGATTTTTTCCCCGCAGTAAGTTGCCTTTTCTTTCTGTGGTAGAACAGTTGCCATCCAAGACTATAGAACTCGGTCTGCCCTGCTATTTATCCATAGCTGGTTGGGGAAGAAGAGGATTAATACCTTTCCCAAGAGTATTAGCATGTAAGTGAATGTAATGGATTCAACTGGAATTCAAACTCAGTTCTCTGATTCCTCAATCTGAGTTGGTATCCATTACTCCACCATGCCTCCTCTTGTAAATTTACATGTGTGTGTGTGTGTGTGTGTGTGTATTTGGGCAGCATTCTGTCATTTATGCAAGTTTCGTTGAAAATGACTGACGGTGGTTGAATTTTTTAGATAATTTCTCATGTTTTTATATAATTTTTTTCTTTTCAGAACATAAATTATACAAAAATTATCCAAATGTTTTACAAGCACTTTCAGTTATACTTTTAGCCATTATCAAGGATGAATTTTATTTTTCTTTTAACTGAATATAAGCATTGTTTTATGTATGTATCTAGAGTTATAGGAATGTTTTATTTTCCAGACATGGTCAGCACATTGTGTCCATGTTCATAGTTGATATTATTGAGTGTTGGATTTTTCTTTTTTATTAATAATGCTTCCATTATTTTTATATAATTTATGTCGGAAAAGAAAAAAAAAAAAAATATATGAAAATTATATAAAAACTCAACCACTGCACCTTGTCAGTCATTTTCAACAAAACTTATATATATATATATATATATATATATATATATATATATATATATATATATATATATGATTAATATATGAGCCTTTTGTAATGTAATTGCTGACTGCTTGGGCAGTTAGCCAATCTCAATTGCAGATGCCTGCTCAGGCACATTTTTGTTTGTTCAGTACACACAGAGCCCACCTGTAATTTATACTGCAACTATACTGAGTGGACCTTCATTAAAGCTTCTGGGAGAGAGTTCATTATACAGCATGATTAATAGTCTGAACAAGGCCAGTAGGCTCAAACCTTCAGTCACAATGTCTAGCTCTACCATCAATGGATCCCAAATACTTCTGTCTACCCAATTTCTCTCACAAGGCTTGTGTCAACTCATGGTATGCTTTTTCAGGCACTTTCCAAAGTCAGTCAGTTATGCATCATGCATGATACATGCTTAAGTGATCATGTATCTTTCAATACATGTCTGACGAGGCAGATTTTTCCCCCCATTGCCATTTCTTTCAGCTGTAGACCAGTTGCTGTTCAAGGCTATAGAACCTGGTCTGTCCTGATATTTACCCATAGATGGGGGGGGAGAAGAAGAGGATTCATACCTTTCCCAAGGGTAATTAGCACGTAAGTGAATGTAATGGATTTGGCTGGAATTCGAACTCGGCTCTCCAATTCTGAGCTGCTATCCATTACTCCACCATGCCTCCCCCATTCCAAAACTTGATTCTATCAGTAGCAACTATTGCTAGGCAGCTGAAGTAGTTATAGGCAAGTAGTTTAATTGTTTATTCAATTATTCTCTTTTATGTCAAATCTTGTGACATGCCAGAGACAAGATGAATTGTCAAGATGCCTGGAAATGAGGCAGCACAAAGAAGTAGATTCAAGTTATTATAAGAATTGTTAGCAGGAAAGGACTTCAAGCATATTTAACTGGAATTTGAACTTACTTATTAATCACACATATTAAATATTAATTTGATATATATACTTTTTGACAGGGTCCAGATAAATAGATAGATATGAAGAAAAGATGTAACAAGTATTAAAATCTATTGCCCTGAATGAGTGAAGGTGAAATTAGCCAGGCCCTTGATTTGTGAAGGTGAACAGGATGTGTTTTTAGGTCTGTCATTGCCACAGTCTGGAGGCAAAATAAACCAGTATCTCTTGTGGATAGGGAGAAAAACAATTGACTGACAGAACAAACAATAGAAAAATCTATTTATTTAGGCAGCCAACCCAGAGTAAGAGTGTTCTGTGTTTCTCTAGTGATCAACAGCTGAACCACTAAGTCATTTGACCAATAACAACATGTGAGATAGAGAACATCTATCGAGAGTCTAAGATTGTCAGCTATGCATTTTCATAAACATTGTTTTGACTGTTTGAATCCTTACAAATAAAAATTTGTTGTTTCCTTATAAAGAAATATTCAGCATTTATTGACAAGAACAGCCAGTGCTTTTTATTCTTCTATGTGCTGTGTCCCTTTAGGATGTAGGTGATCTTGGCTCTCCACAACTTTCTGAACTTTTCAGCTCTTAGTAATTTTTGTCCTTTTGCTAATCCTTGTTCTGCCAACCATTTATACAATCACATTAAGTAGGTTATTCACGGCTTTCCTTTGTCTCTCTTATCTTCAATATGTCCCGTGAGTGCCAAATTCTCCAAGCCCTCATTATGTGCCCAATAAATTGCAACTAAGAGTCCTTTTTGTTTCCATTTTCCTTAAAGCT